GGAAAACAAAATTTCGGTATTTTTCTATCATCTTTTCGACTTATATTTTGACAAAAAATATATGAATATAATATGGTTGCCCATTCAACTTTAGTATCTTCACGAAACGGTCTTAAAACGAAACTATGACAAAATCTAGCGATGACGGGTTTAGCATGTGTTGTCGGTTACTGCCAGGCTTGTATCATTTCAAAGAATTTGTTAATGGAATATGTAAACATGGCATCATCAAGAAAGAACTGATTGAGTAGAGAACGTATTGAGTTTTTGGATACATTGGTGAAGATTGAATATTACCCTATATACATAGATCTCTATCATAAACCTACAGACAAGCTGATGTATGTCGGTATGACACCTTCCATCCGGCCCCACCAAGAAGAATATTGCATTCGGTCTTGAACCTATGTTACAGCGTACCTGTGATAAGGACGAAGACAACGATACGTATAGAGCAGACCTCGAATCCCAGCTACGAATGTGTGGTTAATACAGAAAGTAGAGGGGATAAAGAGGGAAAATCCTCAGGCAAATATGTTCCGGAAAGAAGCATCGGGTAGTGTACCTATGGTTGTTACGTTTTCAAAACATTTACCCGATGTTTCCCGTCTAATAAGGAATCAGCATCATATACTACAGAAGTGAAGACGCCTTAATTCAATCTTTCATCAACCGCCTTTGGTAGTGTTTCAGGGGAGGAAACACTTTTGAGTGATGTGCTTGTAGATGACAAGACAAACAAAATTGTCAATAAAAATGTATCTGTTGTTGCTTTGCTTGAAGATAAATCATTAATTTCCTGGTCAGTAGCACTACTCGCATTGCGAGTTACAGCTCGGTAGAGTATTGATAGTGTACTTATATGAATACATGTTCTACCTCATGTTTGGTATGCAGAAATCTCTTTTTGGTTGTATATGTGGATGAGACAGAACGCTCGTTAGAATAACAGTTCAAACAGACATTTGAGACGTAACACTGAAGGCCCAAAACAAAATGTCCATTCCGACCATTCATACGATGATGTGGAGTGGCGATGCTACGGTGATTACACAAGTTAGGCAAGTCATATAGACACTAAGTTAAAGACATATTGATTAGGGAATTTATTACCAATTTTCCACATTGATTTGATATCCAGAGAAGATGTTGATGTTGACTCTGGACATTGTTCTGACGTCGTGCTTTTATGACGTCATAATATTTAACGAGATAATGTGGGGACACACTTTTGTACGTCATTTCCGCTACAAATGACGCAAGATAGATACAACTTGACTACATTACTAACTTTCGTAATTGAAAAAGGCCAGGAGGCTGAATTAACAATTGTTTTATCATTTTCCATCTACGGTATCAACTGTTGTTTAAAATTGTTCATTTGTTCAAAAATATAAGATTAACCCTAAACAACTTTACATTTGAAGATGGCATTTTTCTTCAACCATTTTGTTTGTTTTATGTCGTTTCTGTTAATACATCTATCTTTAATTGGCCCTAATACCTACCCATTATTTGCCTCACGGCATCTACGGTGTTAATAGGTCGTTGGAAATGAAATAACCAACTAACTGTTGTCAAATGACTGACGTTGGAGATATGGGTTCAAGTTGACCACCGTAACTTCTAATTGGCTGCGACACGAAGTAAAGGTATAACTTAATATCTATTCGGCTAATTTTGTTGACACTTAAACATTTAAAAAGCTGAGAAAATTAAGATCGTTTATTTTCATTTGGAACGTCGATTTCGATAAAACTTTGTGTGTCGCTTCGACATACAGCGAGATACAGCAGGTCAATGTTTTGCTGAACTCTCCAGCAGGCTCAGGGATTACCTTGTTTTTTCCAATGTAAACGAGACAGGTGAATATGCGTAGCTGTAATTAAGTATAACTAACTAAACAGGTACATGATAACCTCTTCGAGGTAAACAATATTTTATTGATAATTGTAACCGAGGTATTGATTGAGTAGATTGGGCTGACTGCAACTATAACTTCCAATTGCTCTAACGTCCTATAACGATGCATACTGACACTCACAAGCATGGGAGAGTTGCCTCCCGGTGAATTGCCGTTACAATAGACATCATTTGAACATTTAATGTATCTATTTGTCCTTTTGATAAGTTGAGCTACTCTGTTATTCTAATGATACTGCTGTAGTTTTGGTTTAGATTTAAAACTGGAACCGTTGGAAAATCTTTGAAACTCTTCGTTGTTACTTGCGGTTGCCTAACAGCTACTGAATGGTACATTTGCACGCAATTCAAGAAGGGGACTGTAATACTGAGGAAAGATGACGTTTTATTTTACTGATCATTCCCACTTAAATAAAGCTGTGGTAGAATGGTGGCGCTGGAAGTTCAGTGGCCCGTCCGTAAACTGCGCACTGCTTGAATACACAGGGACTTTCCCGCCACGCATACCGAACAGCAGTTATGGTCACGTGGCCACACTGACTTGTGTTTTGAGTGACAGATGCTACATTGTGTGATATTATTGGTGCATGTTTCCAATTTCCGTTGTTTTGATTATAATGCGCTGCTGAACAACATACCTATAGGTGGAGAATTGATAATGTTACTCAAAAAAATCTTTGAACAAAAATAAATAACTCATCTCTAATATTTCACATAAGATCTTATGTTAATCCCACTGATACTCTAAGTCTCTATAGAGGTGATTCGTATCCTGCTGTGTCTTCAAAGTAATGGTTAAAAACTCTGCTAATTATGTATTTTTTGTAAGATTTTGAAATAGCTGCCCAATACAAATGCGTCAGCGTTCTTCTGCACTCGTCTGTCACAATCCGTATACAAGAACTGAACGCTTGAAATCGGTAACTGTGAGGCAATGTGTAATCCGTATTGCTACTGACAAAGGGGGTAACTCTCATTATTTAACTATACCGTAACAATTGCTCAACACAATTGCATCTATGTGGATTTACTGTTTTCAAAATTTCAAATGATGACATAAGAAAAAAAGTTGTTTTCAGTTTGAATCCGTAGGCAGGTACCAGTGTGTTACCATTATATTCAAGACCTAACTGGAAACTCCTGTCCAAATTACATGTAATTTATCGTATTATCTGACACATACCTCAAATTGGAGACGTTAGTATTGACCATGATAGAAGCTCGTCCCTGGTCATACTCGGTATGTTGATGTGCTTGCCTCCTAGTAATAGTGCGGATCTGATGTAGACTTATAATGCTTTCTCACTGAAATACCATGCCGAAAGCACCCAGCAACGCATTTCGCCCGGTCACATTATACTGACAACGGGTGAAGCAGTTGTTGCCATTCCACTTAATGCTTAACGTTAAGCAGGGAATAACAAATACCATTTTTAAGGATTTTGGTTTGTCCCGGCCAGAGGACAAAACCCATTGCCTTTCTCACCTGGACGAATGCTCAATATTCAAACCAAAAGTGAGGTGTTGCCAAGAAAGGCGCTAGGAAATAAAGGATAGTTAAAAGTAGAAAGAAATATAGTGATCCCAAATACTGCAACGGGGACAGCAGATTCATTTTGGTCGCTATTGTGTCCCCAAAATAGAGGACACCAGAGCAAATCCCCAATTCTGTAGGAGGTTCCGACATTAGTCGCCTCCTACGATACATGCCCTGAGTAACAGCATGTGTATTCGTGTCCCGATCCCTTATCTGTAGGGGTGAACTACCATGATCTAGAAATGCAATGCATAATGAATTAAATAGGGTACTTTAACCATCATTGAACACACGCACATACCTAGACATGCTGACGACCAACACATCTCTACGTTCAGGAACAATTAGCTGGTAATTGTTTTAAGTTTGTGAGCAATAACAATGTATTACAGGACCCTAACAATATTTGCTAAAATAATCAATATCTATAATTAAATTTTGAAAGAGTTGTTATGCTTAATTCAATTATTTCGAACAGTGCTCTGAACAGCAAATAAGTGTAGACGACAATTAAATCAGTGACGTCATAAAAGAGATTGATGACGTTACACTAGCAAATGTATTTATAATCTTACAACAACATATGCATCCTCAATGCACAATGAAAGGATGCAGTGCAAATGTAAATGGTTACGTATCAACAAAAAGGAATATATCTCATTTTGATAATCATTATTTATAATCAATCTCCGAAGGAAAGAGCGAAATGAATAATGAATATATGATTAATTACAATTTGGAGGATATGCTACGAAAAAATTGCTGTTGAAATGTTATTTAATTCCTTCAAATGTTGTCCATACGTGTGAACCTAGTGATTGGCAATACATCAAAACAAACCGGATAATAGCTGAGAGAAACATAAAATAAGAAAGATCAACATTTTTACTCCAACATTTTCTTAGGTGGGTAACCATACAATTGAACGTCGAACTTGAAACACTGAGCCAATCACTGCTCCTATTTGTGTTATTTGACTTGTGTTCAGAATGCAATTTTATATTCGAAGTATTTTAAGGTCAGAAACAATTTGTTTTGTTTTGGTTTTAAATGTTTTGTTTGGTTTTAAACTTTTGGTTTGGTCAAAATTCAAATAAATAGCTTACGTCACCCAATGCTTGCCCATTACCTATAACGGGAATAGTCCTTGGCGGTACACGATAGGATGGCTTCACATAGTTTGCTTTGATAGCTTCAGTATCCGTACGCACTCTAGTTAGGTGATAGGTTATGACAAAACATACGACTGCAAACAGAAGATAAGGTTTTCATTTGCTAAAAGTAATGGAGTGATGACTGACTGATTTAGATGTATGGCCACCATCTGGACATCGTTTTTTTCTGTAGTCAGAGACGGCTCTCCCTATGGGAATAGGGCAATCTACATACAGATACATCTGAACCCTATCCGCTCTTGTGCGTTTCACTCAATCACGGGGCACCTGATGGAATCAGTACAAATATACATAGTGAGTCGGGAATAGTTGGCTGTTTATTTAAACACCTTATACAGCAACAAAGAAACTCGCATACCATTTTATTACGACGCAGTTTTATTAGCTAAGTGACACGTACAGCTATAAAGAACTGTTACCCGAGTGTTATCCAGTGGCCATGTGGTCTGAAAGATCAAAATACATAAGTAAAGTTGGTTACTTCAAGACCACATGCGTTGCAGAACATGTCATCAAATAAACTCTCAACACTAAGCTGAAGCGTGATATTACCAAGTAAGATTGTACAAAGCGACGAAGTAAATAGATAGGAGAACAAAATATAAGGGTTCAAAATGATGTGATTGATATAGCAGATTTATTTTGATTTAAGTCTCGAAGCAGAGGACCTTCAATAAAATCCATAAATCGGGAGGGGTCTCCTGCACTTGTCGCCTCTTGTAAATCATAATGAAAGTAGTCTTACGGAAATATAGTGAACCACAAGTTTAAGTATTTTCAAAATATCTAAAATGGGAATGAAAGTGATCCAACAGAATGTAAATGACGAAATATTGATTTCAACTACTTTTTGATGCATCATGTTCTACAAAGCTTAGTACAATGCTAAACAAATCTCTGTACCAATAACACAACTTTGGTTAATTCAATTATGATCTTTTGAAATTGAGAAAACTTTTAGATGATACATTTCCATGTAAACAAAATTCAAAATTGATGTAATCCGTGGTTATTTATGTAACAAAACCATAAATCGAATTTTGTATAATATTTGTTATATCTCTTATGGAAATAAAGACACTTACTTTGGTTTTGCTTCACAAATTGCTCCGCGTGATAACGTGCATTCGTTATCATTCCAATGAACGTAGATGTTTAGCTCCAGGCAATGTTGGTGTCTGTGCAAATTATTCGGTTCGTCCTCGCCCCACGCACAGAAATTGTTAGACCTACCACAAGGGGGCATGGGAAGAGGTGTATTGTCTTCTATCCAAACCCAAGTGTTGTTTTTGTCTATATCTGTACCTCCTATCCAAAACGATACACCTGTAAAGTTAGAGTCTACTTTATGTGTTAAAACATGAAATGAAATTTGTAGAATGTGCGAGTGTGTTAGGTGAATGTACGAGTGTGTTAGGTGAATGAACGAGTGTGTTAGGGGAATGTACGAGTGTGTTAGGTGAATAAAGAGTTTGTTAGGTGAATGTACGGGTGTGTAAGGTGAATGTATGAGTGTATTAGGTGAATGTACGAGTGTGTTAGGTGAATGTACGAGTGTGTAAGGTGAATTGAGTGTATTAGGTGAATGTGTACGAGTGTGTAATGCGATTTTACGAGTGTGTTAGGTGAATGTACGAGTGTGTTAGGTGAATAAAGAGTTTGTTAGGTGAATGTACGAGTGTGTAAGGTGAATGTATGAGTGTATTAGGTGAATGTACGAGTGTGTAAGGTGAAGGTATGAGTGTATTAGGTGAATGTGCGAGTGTGTAAGGTGAAGGTATGAGTGTATTAGGTGAATGTACGAGGGTGTTAGGGGAATAAAGAGTTTGTTAGGTGACTGTACGAGGGTGTAATGTGATTTTACGGGTGTGTTAGGGGAATGTACGAGTGTGTTATGTGAATGTATGAATATATTAGGTGAATGTATGAATATAATAGGTGAATGTACGAGTGTGTAAGGTGAATAAAGAGTTTGTTAGGTGACTGTACGAGTGTGTAATGTGATTTTACGGGTGTGTTAGGTGAATGTACGAGTGTGTTAGGTGAATGTACGAGTGTGCTAGGTGACTGTACGAGTGTGTAATGTGATTTTATGAGTGTGTTAGGTGAATGTACGAGTGTGTTAGGTGAATGAACGAGTGTGTAAGGTGAATACAGAGTTTTTTTGTGACTGTACGAGTGTGTAATGTGATTTTTCGAGCGTGTAATGTGATTTTACGAGTGTGTAAGGTGACTGTACGAGTGTTGTAGGTGAATATACGAGTATGTAAGGTGAATGTACGAGTGTGTTAGGTGAATGATGTAGTGGTTAATGCATGCATCGGGCAAAACGAGCGTAAGCGTAGTATACATTAGATTCACGTTCTTTTTCAGAGGAAACAAATGTTTGCCGAGTACAGAAAACTTCATTTTTTTCTGTTTTGTTTTTGTTTTACGGCACAAATGTAGCTCCAGGTTGTTTATTTTGACCAATATTATCAACGCTATTGATACAATTCGTCAAATGGTCTCGTGAAACTATCATATTGAGATGCCGATATACAAAAGTGTAAGTATGAAAGAGGCATTTATATCATTTGTAATATCACAAACTTTATCAGACCTATACTTGTAAGCATACATGTACCACAATACCGCTTGTACTGTACACACCAGAACATGTTACAGCTTGTTCCGAATTATTCTGACGATTTATCGACTTTTTTATATCGGTCTGTCGTCGATTTACGTCTGAACTCCGGCCCTCTATAATATGCGGGAATTAAGCGACCGCGCCTGGGTCGCTCTTCGAACTGATATTTTAGTAACAAATCGTCACCTTCACCCACATGTCGCACATGGATCGAAAGAAACAAAACGTCAGAATAATTCGGACTAGTTACAGTTTTTGTCTAACTAATAACAACTTCTGTCTCCAGGACGGACCATATCAAAGTCTTTGAAAATAGCAGTTGCTATTCCCTACTTAACGTCTAGCATTTAGGGGATGGTAACTTCTGATTCACCCGGAATAATGTGACCGGGTGGAATGCTGTGCTGGGTGCCTTCGGCATGGTATTTCAGTGAGATAGCACTATACAGTTGGCAACATAACCGCTCTATCACTAGGAGGCAGGTACACCAACATACCATGTATTCGTCATACATGCACACCTCTTCAACACACATGGAGGCACGTCCTTAAAGGACCAACTTTGTTGATTGGACACTAAACAAAATGAAATTAACCAAACTAAAATAACTCAAATGTCTGGATATTTATCGTCTTTATGTTTTAGATTTGCCGTTTTTAAATCGTTTTTGATGTTATAAACAGCTTAGGTCATTTCAGTACGTGCCTCCATGTGTGTTATGTATTCATGCATGTGTGATGGTGTGATCGAGGCAAAGCTACCGTATATTGGTTTGATTGCCTCCTTTCGATAACGCGGATCTGATGCCGGCTTTATAGTGCTACTTCACTAAAATATAATACCAAAGGCACCTAGCATAGCATTCAGCCCGATCTCATTTTACTGACGAACAAACTGTTGCCATTACCCTAAGTGCTTAACACTGCACGTGCACTTTCAATGACTGGGCATTATATTAATGAGTCATTCGGCGATTGGTCAATGAAAGAAAAATATAGTAGAATGAGGGCAAATGAAAGGTGCGAGCTGGAATTTTAAACAAAATGACATATAACAATCAACAAGGTTAAATACAAAATTGTAAATCTTTTAAACAAAAGTGGCTATATCTATATCTATTTAAACAGACCAACTGTTTTTAAGTGGTTTAGAATTTTTATGTATATATTTATTCTATTATTTGAAAGTGTTAAATTGTATATTATATATACATTGTAGCTGAACAATTTGTGGTAAAAAATATAATATCAGTCGTCCAAATTAGTCGTTTAATAATAATCTTTTATTATATGTATTCGTAGTCGAATTGTGTCATAAGTTGGAGAATCTCGGTAAGTTTAATTGGATGCAAACATGTGACTAGCAAGGCAAGTTGATGTGCCAACTTTATTACCTTTATAACCATAAGTGTTTTCACATAACCAATGCAACTCGCATGAAAGGTTTTTAAATTACTCATTTCCCTGTCTATAACTGGTCTAATAAAGCATAGTTTTAAAAATATCCATTAGCATACGTCGCCTCTGCACTTCTGCCTCAAGAAATGAATTCTCTGCTGCGTTGTTAACTGTCGCCAAATGTCCATCAACATCAATACAGTGTTGCTGAAAAAGAAATATGCATCGATACACACGGACAATTACAAAGGTTTACTATTAAAGCTAAAGGGGAAAACTTGTTTGACAACGGTTTCGTTTCTTCGCAATAGCCAAGGTCGTATGAGGGCGGATAGGGCCGCACAGAGCAGCTTTCAAAAGTTATCTCAATCTCAATAAATCGTCCAACAACCGGTGAAGGAGATGTGCTTACAGGGTTTCTTGAGCACAAATGAAGGTTTCAAGGCCAAACTCCATAAAACTAAGCGAATCGTTCTTCATGTATAACGTTTACTTAGCTATGAAAATCAATCGAACAGTGAAGAAAAAGTTTCGCTTAAAAGGTTTTTGGAGCCAAACTGTAAAGTTTCAAGGGCGAAATCCAACAAACGGTTCATAGTTTCTTGAGAAGAAATAACAGTCTCGATGACCATATATAACCCTAAAAAATCAAAATCCCCAAATGCCCTTCGTCATGCACATCTTCATATGATTTACCTTCGCTGTGCCAAGTAACGTAAAATAAAAATAAAACAAACAAAAAGAAAGGACGACTTTCTCTCTACGGTTCGCTTTGCTTCTTTTTGGCAAACACAAGCGCTATTTGTTTAGTGTGTGCCTTGATTTGCCGATGTTCTTCAACGTCTTTGTTACAGCTTAGGTCATACCAAGATTGGTGAAGAAAATTGTCAGCTTATCAGATGACAATGCAGACAACATCCATATTCTGCAAAATGTTCCATTATAGTCGGCTTTCGAAAAATACATTGGGATACAGCAGGAATATTGTATTCCCCAACCGTACAGGTGTTGTTTGTTCCGAAGTTTTATATTCAAAATAACGTGATATTGTGAGCAAAGTAGATCATTTCAAGTGTGGTAACAACTCTTGGAATGGTATTTTCAACAATTTGCCTTTCAGATGGCTTTTTGTAACATAAGCTGAAATGATGTTACTTACCATGTGTTCGACCCATGTCTCAGACGAAGTGACAAAGAGGTAACATGATTGTTCATACTGTATCCAACCATCACGACACTTTGCAATAGCTAAATGAATGGAATATGTATGTCAACATATCAACAGTAATATAACGAGAAGGCATAATTTACACACCATTTATTTTTTGGGAAAATATGTTTGACAGTTAAAGGTGAAATAATTTTCCTGGAGCAACAAATCATAAGAGATATTGAAAAGTAAGGTGTTAGTTACTTCCTTTCTTAACGGAAGGCAATGCTTAAGTTATATCGGACCCTGAAAAAATAATTAGGTGCACTATCAAAACATCACACCAGGTCATGTCGGAATACGTGGAAACGAGAAAGTCACAGTCAAATATTTTATCAATGAATGCAATAGTTTGACACAAATCCCTGAACGATTCTTCAATATTGAACCATCGGTGAATGAAAATTTTATTTGATTCAGTTGTTGATCCATTATAATAAGTATATGATTATTAACACTTAATTGATTTGTACAGTAAGATTTGTTACATTTTACAAGCAATTCGTATGATGCTTGTTTATTTTTACACCAACATATTTAATTCTTGTTTGATGTACTCTTTTCAGTTAACATCTTATTTTTAATGATGTTGTTTGCCTAAAAATGACTCCCATTGTCGACGGTCGTACGCTCACAGTGATATGTTGATACAAACATATTTTCATATCAGGCACGTTAGAGTATCTGTCTTGAATCTTACTATATCGGCACTGTTGATCAATAGGTGAGGCACTATCATATGTTCGTTACATGGATAACAAAAGGGCTTATCATCTCGCCACGAAACCTTCGCAAAGTTGTGAGAGGACAATGTCTTCTCTACGGTCTTCTGTGATAGCGAGTTTTGTCCAAGATTGGATTGAATGGCAACAATTTTTTGATATCAACTGACGATCTCCTTTGGCAGTTACATTTGATGCAAAATGGCAAAATTAGGTTTTAAAAGAGATTTATTGATTTGTAACTTAAGTGTTGTTTTTGCACATAAGTTTGGATTAATTGATACCAAAATTACCTTACACCATGCAATCCTTGTAAGTGAGAAATATTTATTTATAAGTTGCCTTTAATTAATAGCACAGCAATAATGATGAGGTCACAGTTACAAAACGTAAGTCCCTAAAAGGACGCTGAATGAATAACAAGTTTTTTTCAAAATTTGCATTTTATGGCAGATGTAATGCCAAGTTTCAATTGTGGATGCATCTCATCATTCATACATGTGTGTTAGTCTGCACCTAAATACATGTGTCGATAGTGGGACCAGGATTGCGAAATGACCCGCCTTCATAATCCTCATTTATTAAAACGAGTATTTATCCGTGTTTGTTGCACTTCCATCTTACGAATCTATCATCTGCATGGTTAATTTATTGCAGATTATACTGGTACAAGCTGAAATGTTGGAGAAGTAAAGCCACTCTTCTCTGGTGAGAGCAAAAATATCAATTCAATACAAACACGTAGCACATTCGGTAAAGGTATTTTTTACGGTAGACACAATCTACATACCTGTCCCGTATCGGTGACAAAACTGAACAGAAAGCGGTTAGAGATACAGCTTGTAATCGGGCAAACTTTTCAAAGGCAAAGACACATATCTTACCTTCCGTATGATGCCATCCCAAACCAAATATAACAAACTTCAACGCCAGAAATGTAAAATGGAGTCTAGCCATGTCTGGATGAAGGATATCAGGGACGGGCGTACATGTACTAAATGTCTGAAGGACGCACATTGAGATAAGATCATGCTCATTGTAAAGTCAAAAGATAAAATTGTTTGTACTGAGCGAACTTTTGGCTTTTATGAAATACAATGTTTTTTTCATCGCATGATATATTTAGGTTAAGCTCTATTAACGTTTCAATACATAATCTTAATGCAATTACAATGTGCTTTTAGCAGATAACTACATGTGTTGTTTGCAATTTAACCGTATTTTGATATCAATGTGTAAACTAAAGAGCAAACCGCTAATAGAAACAACGTTTTGGGAACGCACATAGATAATATCTATGTCACATTTTATTAACGGAAGATAAGCCTTATTTACAGACATGGGACGACCTTTTTAATTCGACAAATTTTAACAAGCGTGTTTCGGCTTTATCTGTAATAAATACTTATTTGCAGAATCCAGTGTTTTCTTTTTGTCTTCTGCTAAGAGAACACTGAAGAAATCAAAATTGACCTCCCTTTTGCAAGGACATTTAACAAACAAACAAACATAGAAAATGCTTTTAATGAAGATTATTTCATGAACTGAATTATTGTTTTTTGTAATAATTCCTTTATTGTGACAGCATAAAGATACGTTTTTCCCCTATTTCATTTAAAGGTGTGTTTGTATTTGTCACTCATCTATATCTGTTTTGTTAAAGTATTGTTCTACGGTTTATATTTAATTTGAGTTATATGGGCCTGACGATACATATACCATCGAACAAGACGTTCACAAACAAGGAATACATAAAGAGTGTTTTTATAAAATGCGAAAATCAATTAAAGTCAACATTTGTAGCATGATAATTACAACTTCTGGTAAAATTCAATTAACGATTTTGAATTTGTTTAGTCTTAACGGGGTCCTTGGCACAAGGTCAATTTTGGCATTCAGAGTAAAAAAGAAATTCAAAAGTCGATACCAACTTTAAACGCAAAGAAAATGTTAAAATTGGCAAGATGTAAATAGCGAAATTGTTGAAGTAGTATTAATAGTATAGTATAATGTAACGGCCCATTTCCTGTTTGCACAAGGCAAATATTTGTCATTTGTTTCATGTTTGTACATTAACATAAATATCACGAACCTATTTCAGATCTCAACATGTGAACATGTAATGTTCAACAGTATATGGAGGTATACAAACCAAGTAAGGTAAGCAAGTTAGCAAGTGTGGATGACTAATATATGTATGCCTCATTATGTTTCGGACCAAAACTAAATATCATTTTCTAATTTGTTTTATGAAAATAACACCGTTTACCTAATATATAAAATGACTTAACATAATTAACTCAGAATATGTATTGATGGAGAATGCTTTGTATTTGACATCTTTTGTGAGAACCTCAACATCCTATAGGGGAAAACAAAATTTCGGTATTTTTCTTTCATCTTTTCGACTTATATTTTGACAAAAAATATATGAACATAATATGGTTGCCAATTCAACTTTAGTATCCTTCAGAAACGGTCTTAAAACAAAACTATGACAAAATCTAGCGATGACGGGTTTAGCGTGTGTTGTCGGTTACTGCCAGGCTTGTATCATTTCACAGAGTTTGTTAATGAAATACGTAAACATAGCATCATCAAGATAAAACTCGGAAGGAGTAGAGAACGTATTGAGTTATTGGATACATTGGTGAAGATTGAATATTACCGTATATATATATATATATATATAGATCTCTATAATAAATCCACAGACAAGCTGATGTTTGTCGGAATGACACCTATCAACCGGTCCCCACCAAGAAGAATATTGCATTCGGTCTCGAACTTATGTTACAGCGTATCTGTGATAAGGATGAAGACAACGATAAGTATAGAGCAGGGCTCGAATCCCAGCTACGAAAGTGTGGTTAATACAGAGAGTAGAGGGGACCAAGGGAGAGAATCCTCAGGCAAATATGATCCGAAAAGAAGCATCGGGAAGTGTACCTATGTTGTTACGTTTTCAAAACATTTACCCAATGTATCCTGTCTAATAAGGAATCATCACCATATACTACAGAAGTGAAGACGCCTAAATTCAATCTTTCATCAACCACCTTTGGTAGTGTTTCAGGGGAGGAAACACTTTTTAGTGATGTGCTTGTAGATGACAAGACAAACAAAATTGTCAACGAAAATGTATCTGTTGTTGCTTTGCTTGAAGATAAATCATTAATTTCCTGGTCAGTAACACTACTCGCATTTCAAATTACAGCTCGGTAGAGTATGGATAGTGTACTTACAGAAATACATGTTCTACCTAATGTTTGGTATGCAGAAAATGATTGTTTGGTTGTATATGTGGATGAGACAGAACGCTCGTTAGAAGAACGGTTCGAAAAACCTGTGAGAGACGTCACACTGAAGGCAAAAAAAGTATATACATCAATAGGCTGATGAGAGAGAGACCTGACTCTCGACATTGTGTTGACGTCTTGTGATTCTGACGTCGTGCTTTTATGTCGTCATAGATTTAAAGAGATAATGTGACGTCTCAATTTTGTACGTCATTTCCGCTATCAATGAAGCAAAATAGATGTAACTTGATTCAATTGCTAGCTTTCGCAACTGAAGCAGGCCAGGAGGCCGAATTATTGGGACTTAGAGTGACAATTGTTTTATCATTTTCCATCTACGGAAATCAACGGTTATTTAAAATTGTTTGTTTGTTCAAAAAGATATGATCATCCCTAAACAACTTTACTTTTGAAGATGGCATTTGTCTTTAACCATTTTGTTTGTTTTATGTCGTTTCTGTTAATACATCTACCTTTAATTGGCCCTAATACCTACCCATTTTTGGCCTCAACGCATCTACAGTGTTAATAGGCCGTTGGAAATGAAATAACCAACTAACTGTTGTCAAATGACTGACGTTGGAGATATGGGTTCAAGTTGACCACCGTATATTTTACTTAGCTGAGACACGAAATACAGGACACTTTAACTTTTAAAAAGCTGAGAAAATTAAGATCGTTTATTTTCATTTGGACCGTCGTATTCGATAAACCTTTGTGTGTCGCTTCGACATGCAGCAAGTTACAGCAGTTAAATATTTTCGCAGAACTCTCCAGCAGGTTCAGGGATTCACTGCTTTTTTCCAATGTAAACGGGACAGGTGAATATGCGTAGAAGTAATTAAATATAACTAATTAAACAGGTGCATGATATCCTCATCGAGGTAAACAATATTTTATTGATAACTGTAACTGAGGTATTGATTAATTGATTAGATTGGTCAGACTGCAACTATAATTTCCAATTGTTCTAACGTCCTATAACGGTGCATACTGACACTCACAAGCATGGAAGAGTTGGCTCCCTTCCTACCGGTGAATCGCCGTTACAATAGACATCATTTGAACATTTCATGCATCTGTTTGTCCTTTTGATAAGTTGAGCTACTCTGTTATTCTAATGGTACTGCTCTAGTTTTGGTTTAGATTTAAAGGGACAATTTAGTGTAAGTTTTTTTATAACCTTGTCAAATAAATCTTCATGATTATGTAGTTTGATACTCCCTATGAACAATTGATGTCGAGGCATTGACAAGAGACAATTTTTTCTTGGCGTTTTTATTCAGTAGAAATCCTTAACTGTACAGCCGTATGTTTTAGCGGCATCTGTCTGTGAATTTCTATCTAACAAAAATGTCTTTCCAGCTGAGGAGAGAAGGTGACTTCTGATTTTATTCGCATAGCCTCTCTGAATGCATATATTCTGAATCAAAATCATCTTCCATTAACATATAAAACATCGTTAGAAATGAGTGGTCTGTTGTACGTTTAAACCTATTGATATCGTACTTTCTGTGGATTGAAATTTTCCCTGCGGCACCCTCTCAGTGCGTGCATGCTCTGATTGAACCTGTTTGTTTTTATTCAAATCCAAATGTGAACAGAAATATCTGATTAAAGGTTTATATTTTTGAAACTTATAAGTACAACAATGTGATACAAATGTAAGTGTGAACTAAGACTCAAAACTGACACTGTGTTGTCGGTCGACAGCGTAGTGCTGTACATGCTTACTTCTCATTGAAAGGCCCGGTTATCGCGCTATTTCGGTCGTAGCTATTTTCACCACCGGTTTTCCGAAAAGATGAAACTGACCACACTGGACGGCGGCTTCAGGTCATATCATTATCAACTATGTAAACTTTTGTTAGGAGATATACATTTTCAGTATCGACTATTTTTCAGGTAATCAAAAAACTTTCTTCATTAAATAAAAAAGTATAATCCAACGTGACCAGTGTTTACTGATGGGAAGTGGGTGTTTTGGGCCACTTTCCTTCAGTAAACCTACTGAAATACTGATCAATACTTTTTTGTTCATTGTTTGTCACGCTTCAGGTCTCAACACTTCAATTTGTGTTAGATACATGTACATGTACTTGTTTTCGTGTCTGTCATGATGATCAGTATCGTTATTTCTAAAAGTTGAAAAACGAGCCAATTCGTTAAAATTGAATGAGGACAATTAAGAATGTCCTGATCTATTTAAAGAAAACTGAAACCGTTGGAAAATCTGAATGGTACATTTGCACGCAATTCAAGACGGAGACCGTAATACTGTGGAAAGCTGACGTTTTATTTTACTGATCATGCACACTTAAAGAAAGCTGTGGTAGAATGGTGGCGCTGGAAGGTCAGTGTCCCGTCCGTAAACTGCGCACTGTTTGAATACACAGGGACTTTCCCGCCACGCATACCGAACTGCAGCTACGGTCACGTGGCCACACTGACTTGTGTTTAGAGTGACAGATGCCACATTGTGTGATATCATTGGTGCAGGTTTCCAATTTCCGGTGTTTTGATTACAATGCGCTGCTGAACAGCATACCTGTAGGTGGAGAATTGATAATGTTACTCAAAATAATCTTTGATCAAAAATAAATACTCATCTCTAATATTTCACATAAGATATCATGTTAATCTCACTGATACTCTAAGTCTCTATAGAGGTGATTCGTATTCTGCTTTGTGTCTTAGTAATTGTAAAAAACCCTGATAATTATGTATTTTTTATAAGATTTTGAAATAGCTGCCCAATACATATGCGTCAGCGTTCTTCTGCAGTCGTCTGTCACAATCTGTATACAAGAACTGAGCGCTTGAAATCGGGAACTGTGATATGTGTATTCCGTATCGCTACTGACAAAGGGGGTAACTCTCATTATTTAAATATACCGTAAAAAATGCTCAACACAATTATATCTATTTGGATTTACTGTTTTCAAAATTTTAAATGATGACATATGAAAAAAGGTTGTTTTCAGTTTGAATCCGTAGGCAGGTACCAGTGTGTTTCCATTATATTCAAGACCTAACTAGAAACTCCTGTCCGAATAACAGGTAATTTACCGTATTATCTGACACATACCTCGAAATTGGAGACGTTAGCATTGACCATGATAGGAACTCGTCCCTGGTCATACTCTATATTCAAAGAATGACCTGTCAAACGATAGTCCGATGGGAAAGGACCTTGGAACTCCAACCCTGACTGGTGGTATGCCACCCCCAGAGCTGATAGTGCCAGACGGGAAGCTACGTCATGCTTGAAACGGGGATGGATGCTAAATTGAGAAACAGAAACATCTGTATTAGTAATATGAAAATATTATATAATTGCATCTTCAGGTCAAAGTACAAGTTAACTGTCAAAATATAATAGTTTGTGCAAGTAAAAGAAAAAACTTCAGTCAAAATTGACGAGATTCTATGAATTTCACTGAGAGACTTGGTATAGTTAAGGGTTTGTTTGGGGTTTAACGTCCTCGTGGGTGCCTTGGCCTTGAAAGATGAGTACATAAGTTGCTGCTAGATTTAATCTGCTTACATTGATGAACAAAACTGATATACGGATTGATATGTGGTCGTGTTGAGAGGCACGAGTCTTACGCATCACCAAAATGTATCTGGAGAGACACATAGGTATCAAGGGAATGACTAGCCTGTGCGTATTCATGGTCTATGCATGCATCGATTTAGCAATCAAGCTAAGACTGACACTTGCCAATATGAATACGCAGATAAATTCGTCTGAAAATCAATTATATTTAGGAGCGGTATTTCACGAAAACTGGAAACCAATAACCTTTCATAAGTCCTTAGGTACATTAATCATGTGTTCATTTGAACGCATTGATTTGAACATGAAACTGAGACTAACACTCACCAATACAATTGTGCAAACAACATTTGGGTGAATTTGAACCACGTATAGAGCAGTTATTGTACAGGAAACAAGCGTGACAGACACATGCCCTAAATTAGTATCATCATATTCTTAAAAATCGGAGAAATGAAAATGTCAGAGAAACGCGTGGATAAAGTGAACCGTACCTGCCGTATGGTGAGCTAAAATCTGGTAGGTCTAATGCAACAGACATGAACGTGTTCGGCATCTTGGCGTTCGGTACTTTCCCATAGCCGGCGGTTTGGGCCCATCTCAGAGACGGAATTGGTATCACCTTTTCTTGCCCAGGCCTATATGGTGCAAGCTGTGTACAATCACATTTATTGGACTTTGTGATTATCAATCATTACGGATTTTGTATATTTGCATGCATATCAAATATTGAAAATGAAACCGTGACGTTACCAAACGAATGGGAAATCTTAAAACAGGAACAATAATACCTAAAAAACAAATACAAAATTGATATTTTCTGCGTGTAGAAGAGAATCACGCTATAACTTGATCAAGATTGTTATTTCTAACTTGGAATCTAATTCCATATAAATTTGTATTGTTTTATTTGTTGTAAGTGTCTTTATGCTATGCTTTGTACATAAAAATGGAAGTAGTTGGGCACAGTGGGTAGCGCGCTGGCCTTTCACCAAGACAGCCGGGCAATTAGTTATTGCATTCTTAACGGCCTTTACATCACACAAACGAAAGTTAAAAACACAAAACTTGTAAAGAAAAAGTGGCTATGGTTTGTTATTCAGGTAGTTTGAAAATGAATGATCCATTCGTAGACGGGCAAGGGCACTCATTAAGACCAAACGAGAGCGGTTAATGCATGAGTTGTTTCATTACTGTTGTAAAATAAGTATTTATTTTTAAACACTATGATTCAGAATTAAATAAATTATATACAAGAGTTTATTTTTTACTTACATTTTAATGATACGTTAACTTTGATAAATTCAAAGAAAGAGCAAAGGAAATCGTTCTTTCAATGAATAAATGTCTGTTACATAAGGCACCTAGCAGTCACGAAGGTTTATTGATAAATAACTTGTTTTGTAAGATATCAAATTATGTGAAGTATTTCACCTGAACGAATCCGAAAGGAAATTCTGCGGACGTTGTATGCAGAGAGGCTGAGCTAAACCTTTGTCTCCAGTCGTTTATCATGGCAGGGAACTGGCATCTATACAAATCATATGCTCCGGCATTAGACTCTCCTACAAAGGGCAAGTGGAATCATTTGTTTGTTTGTTTGTTTGATTTTGTTTAACGTCCTATTAACAGCTAAGGTCATTTAAGGACGGCCTCCCCTGGGTGCAAGATGCATGCGTGTAGTTTATGTGTGTGTATTTTGGGAGGCTGCGATATGTTCGTGTTTGTCTCCTTGTGATAGCGCGGAACTGATGCCGACTTTATAGTGCTACCTCACTGAAACATACTGCCGAAGACACCCAGCAGGACGCCCCACCCGGTCACATTATACTGACAACGGGCGAACCAGTCGTCCCACTCCTAATTTGCTGAGCGTTAAGCAGGAGTAGAAACTACCATTTTTAAAGACTTTGGTATGTCTCGGCCAGGGGACAGAACCCAAAGCCTTCCTCACAGGGGCGAACGCTCAACAAATGGCCAAAAGTGAGGCATTGTCAAGGGAGACATTAGGAAGAAGAAAGTTATTTAGAAAGGAGAGAAGAGATAAGGTCCCAAATTTAGTCGCCTCTTACGATCATGCAATTGGGGGCAGCAGGTACAATTCTTACGCCCTACCTGCAGGGTAAAAAAAAAACTTGTTACATTTACACGGTAACGCTGAGATTGTGGAATCAGTGTTATATATATATATATCATATTTATGAATGTGCCGGAGATAAATTTAATGTACTATCTTTGTATCAATTAATTTCATCCGACACTATTCTAGGAGAAGAGAAAGAAGATCAATAAATAAAAATATTAAAACCTAGTCTCAACAGGCTACGGTAAAATTTCGCGCTAGTCTGTCCATCAATCTTGAGTACTTTGTGACGTCACGTTACTATTGTAGTGTGATGACATGTAATTTTGACGTCACGATGTTGTCCTATTTAAATATACCTGAAGAGCCATGTGAAGGGTGAAAACAGCTTATTTTTTAGTCGGTCGTTAATCTTATTTTTTCTATATTTACTTACTTCAAATGGACATTTAATCCTTTTTTATGATATATATATATATATATACAAAAGTGTTGCGTGACTAGTATACGTGTTTCAGAATAAAATATAAAGGATAAAGTTAAATTTCAATAATTGACACGACATGTTGGTGACTGTCACATCAATATCTTTTTCATGGATACAAATGTACACGTGGGCATTTCTTATAATGTACATTAAATAAGATGAGGAACTTTATTTAATGTCCACTATCATAACGTATATCAACTATCGATACTGTCACAGCAACATGAAATAAGACACATACAATTATCCTTTTAAAACAAGAATGCTGAGAAAAAAACGCCAAAACTGGTCTGCACTGTAACAAGTCCTTTTAAAAGAAGGTACTTTTGTGTTCGCATCTGATACATGCAGCAACCAAAATTCACATTACCTTGATACCAGATAGCTCCGTAAATAGTATTCCTAGTTAGAGGACTCATCATTGCATTCCATAAATCCGAGTTTTGAATGGCTCTGAAATTGCAAATATTGGCATGAATGAACAATTATGTAATTCAGGTATAACATTTGTTTATTTCTTTCTAAAACTTATCGCTTGAAGCTCAAAAATAGATGCAACCGTGTTTGGTTAAAATACAACTTCATCACATGCGATACAAATAATATACTATCGAAGAAAATGCCAGCTTTTTTTTGTACGAAACGTGTTTTTGTAAAGAATTATAGTGTTTTTATCTTTTTAATCATTTGATTACTTACCGTTTGCCATTGTGGGGACATTTACTAAGGGCAAGCGTCGAAGACCACCATTCAATTTTCGTTCCACCCCAGTTTGATTCAATTAATCCGATCGGATATTTGAATTGTGAGGATAATTGTTTTCCAAACAACCAACAAACAGCGGAAAACTTGCCCAGGTTTGCTGAAAAAAAGTGGCATGAAACGTTGTTTTAACAGCTGTTGTATTGAACATTAGCATCCCGTATCTCATTTAATTTTCGCCAAATCTACATTTGTGTTCTGATCTGCAAAGAAGGCTAATCGTGATTGGGAAATGCAGAATACATGATAAGTAAGTTATTTATTAGATTATTAACGGCCAATAAACACAAAAAAGGTCATGAGGGTTAATTGAAAGTAATTTAAACATGTTAATTAAAATGTCATCAAACGAACGTTAAAGTAAAAGACAAACTTTGACGTAAAAAGTGAAAGTGACTGGTTATTAATATATTTTTGAACAGACAAATAATTTTTAGGTAGGTTAGAATTGAAGAGATATTACCTGTTTCGAAAAGAGATTTGTGATCTGTTATATTATTATAAAAAATCTCTTGTTGTCTGAACGTCAATGCAAGCTAATAACAAGTGTTTTACTATAAATGGTTCATTGCAAGCAATGCATTGAGGCCGGTCTTTGTGTTTCAATAAATAAGAATGGGTTAAGCCGCAAGAGAACAATGAACATACAGCTGATGCTCTTTTCTAAAAATTACAATCCTCCCGCATCAGTTGCAACTGGAGCAATAAAAGCAGATATACACATGATAAGTAACAGACAACACCAACAACACATATATGCGTGTTCAGAGATAAACTAATTTAATGACGTAAATCATTTATTTATAAAGGTATATCGTTATACTTCTTCTAATGCCCTTGACCAAATTTGATAAATTATGACCCTATTTCGGCCATTTAGGTAATAAACTCGGCAAAATTCTGATCGCACGTCTACAATATGATTTTGTAGATCATGTGTTATTATTGTTAAACAATCAAATACTGTTTTGTTAAAGGATTATAACCAAGATATTATTTACCTCGAGCTGGAATAGACCAGTGCAGAGCAGGTGTCACATTGAAGTCATCTAGTTCAGCATTGGACTGTGCGTGCGTGGCCTTAAATAGGCGGACATTTCTGTAGCTTGAAGCCTCTGCGTACTCGGCAGAAGCGTTTACGACCTATTCGACAGAACCATATTATTCAAATTAGTAGTCTGTACGGATTGATTTAAAAAGATGTTTGCAGCAATGAAATTAAGATACATTACTTGTAAAACATCGGCAATAAGAAAGTAACCATGTTATCTCGTGTAACGTTTAAATTGATAAAAAATGGGTCAACTTTGTAAAGTAAATTATGTTTTTAAGCTTTAATTTTTGTTTCATTAAAATGTTGGGTGAAATTCTCCAGATAATTTCAGAAATGGATACTGAAAGTTTTGCACTTGGTGAACTCTTATGACCCTGACCCTTTGTCACCTTGGAGACAACGCGCTTCCAGAGTATACATTTTGATCCTCATCATCTAAGCATCACTAATGAACCGTTTGTTAAAATACACCCGTTAGTTTCATAGGAGATGATTTTAAAGGTTTTGCATTTTGCACTCTGTGACATTTTACCGCCACGCCCCTCAGCCCCATCTTAAGGATTGACACTTGAGTATTAATCTCAAAATAAACGCCCAGTTTGTCAACAATACCATAAAAACTCACCCCACTCATGGTAAATTCCATGTTGCTCTGTCCGGAACAAATCCACACATCACCGAACATGACGTCATGTAGAGTTATGGTCCCTTCACTCGACTTTGCCGCAAGAGTGAATGGACCATAGTTATCGCCAGTGACGACAACTTTCGATATCCACGTTATGACTCCTTTTGCGTTTTGCGTGACAATATCTTCACCGACCTTGTGACCGTTTAGGAACAGCTGTACTGTGTCGCCGAGGTGAGAGGATGTCCCCCAAACAATCGCCCCGCCCGCTCCCTGCTGCAGCACCATATGGTTGTTGTAGTACGATGCAAACTTAAATGTCGAGCTGCCCACTGGAGACAGGAAATTAATTTCTATGTTGGTCGACTCATATACTATGCTTGTAAATAACACCATATGCAAGTGGAATTGCTAGGATTTATACGCTTATCTCGACATTGTGCGGGGATATTGTTGACATTTTTAACTCGATTCTGATTATTCCACGTAAAATGAGATTTAGTTGGGGGTCACTGCAGCATAGTGTTTTTTTCTGTGTGTTCTGCTAAAAGAACATGTAATATGAAAGAATCAGACTGCTGCCCAAATAGCAACACTTTAGGTCGTTCGCATTTCCTATCGTTATATATGTATATATTTGTATTGTATATTGGCAACCATCCTCATTTGACCCGTGCTTTCGAATAGAAGTTAAACGCGATACATTTTTTTTCATGAGTGCTTTAGCTTGGTACAGATTCGTGCACTACACTTCCGCTTCTCAATCAAGTTCTGGTGTCGGAGCTTGTCTAATTTGCTTGATCAGAGTTTGGCATCATTGCAACAGAAACAAATTAAATAAAAGCCTATTTATAATCATATATTTACTGCCTTTTTCGTAGGAAACACGTTTCTATGTTTCTCTGAGAATTATAATGATGCGACCCTCGTGAAACATGGTAAATCATAGAGAAACAAATAATCGTGTTTCCCTACAAAAAGGACAAACCATATTTTATTACAATAACACTATAGTAAAGATGATCAGATTACTGAGCCATTGTATTCTGCTTCAATTACTTGTAACTCAGTTGCTCTGAATAAGGGATCTATGACCGGGAAAATGCGAGCGCGTGAAATAGACATAATGTTTGATTTCCCTAATGCAATTTACATAACCTAATCATGTAGTTATAAAGATGAAGTAAACTAATAATATTATTTTCATATGAATTAGGTCCAAAATCAACAACTCATGTATATTCTACAATATCTTGGGGAATTGCTATTCTTTTGCTTTCAAATTGTCATTATTAAATTTACAAGTTTACCCTAACAAAATTTGTCTGTCCTATAGCTGTTGATAGTTTATCATTAGATTGGTGCCAAGGGAAACACCACAGGAAAGAAAAGTAGAAAAGTAAGAATAAGTTATAGATAGACCTGTTAAGGTAAACACGTATTGTATGCTTAAAATGGGCCTAACTAGGAACCTTTGAAGACATTACATAGACAAATTACTTACAGCCCACGACATTGCAAAAGGTCACACAACACAACAGCCAATGGATTCCAGTCATTGTTTTCGAGTCGTTTCCTCACTGACTGGTTAGATAAGACTGTGTGATCTAGTATAAGACTCGTACCTCTTATCTCTTATCTCTCCACACGCTATGACCGTTGCGTTTGCAAGCATACGTAAAAGGAAAGGGATCACCTCATTTAAAGACATTCAAGTCGTAACAACTGAATGTACCACTGCAAAGAGTTAAAACGTACGTATGTAGGCTATGACGTAGCTTACGTGGCTCAAAACAAAAAACATTGTATTTGTATTACTTATTCTTTCTAATTTTACTTCCATTTTGTGAGTGTGTGTTTCTTTGAGTTTTTGTTATAGTTTTTAACCTTTATTTCATCTTCTAATATCACACATTCATAAGCTTTTTCAGTGTATGTCTGTGCCATAATAGGTTTAATATTTTATATTTCTTGTAAAAAAAAAAACGCTGTCAAAAATACGTTCATCAGTCCGGGGTGTTTTTATATATGTTTTAATTTGTGTAAAACTCCCTCTCCCCGCTCTAGTACAGTGAACTCGAGGAACAATACCTCAACGGGGTCGGGTTTCTTTTCGCCACTTTATATTCAACACTTTGTTTTCATTTTGTATTGTTTACGGTCAATCTACACAGAAATGTCACTAAGCCTATAGCGATAAAAATAAACTCTAAGCTTACATTGGTAAAAAGAAACGACTGAAATGTTAATATTCCTAAAGAAAAGATATATTGCTCGATTAGTGTAAACGCTATATTCTATAATAGAGGCCTATTTCTTGCATTTATGTGATGATAGTACCGCAGTAACTTGTTACATGAAGTAAGGAGTGTTAAGTAAGTGAAGTAATGTTGATAGCGCTTCTTGCTTTAATAAACGTAAGCATACTGTTTTAGGTATTTTTCTGTTACGCGTGGTTTCTTAATCGTTGAATTGGTGTTGTATAAATGGCTTTCATTACTGTGACGACAATAAAGACAGCAATGGAAAGATAATTAATAATTCGAGGTTCTTATTTACCGCTTTATCACAACCAAGTTCGTAGGTTGTCTTAAAGCGGTTCACAAATTATTAAATGATGATGATTTTAACAAATTCGACAAACGAACAAAAATTCGTAAATAAATAACTACATGAGGAAGTCATGAGGAGGGAGGGCCGTAGGTTAAGGGGGTTGCTATTTTTTCGAATTTGTTTTATTGAATATATTCTGACAGTATTTCTTAAAAAAATATTACATCCCTTTTAATGACTGTAACTTATTATGAGAATGTTCCGGTCCATATTATAGTTACAGCTGTGGAATGGCACAACGTTACACGAGAAGCAGTGTGCGCAGCATGAAGAAATACTGTGCGATACTAACGTTTGCACAAATGTGCGATGGTTTGATGAATATTAAGAAATGGTCAGTGAAGATATACAATTTCTGATTTAATGTATATCTTTTCTGATTTAAGCATGTTGTCATACATCTACGTTGTATACACAATAAACATAGGTAAGGTCTAGTTGTGTTTTAATACGTTAACTATCGAATTATCGATGAACTCTAATTGGCAATTAACTCCATGCAATTCACGACGTATTTGTACTAGAAATGTACCTGACGGTGCAGCCCCATTATTAACAGTTTTACGGTTTATGAAATAATGTGAAAAATGTTTTGAAATAAGAAAAGATGAAACAATATACCTATCTGATATTTAAAAGATGTGACGTTGGTGCGATCGGTAGTTAAATCACGCAGTTGTGCGCTATATGTGCGGATGATGCATGCACAATGTGCGCACGTTAATTTTGCTGCGTTATGCTATCACACAACTGTATCACACATGATCAATCCATACAGGAGAGACCCTGACAGCCAATACATTGTCTATTAAAATCAAATGTTATATGAAAATGACATACAACAAACGTGAAGGTAAACGACAAAAGTCAACTTGATTATTGAAAGTTGCTATGGGGATTCTTTGGAAAAAGACCAATAGCTTTCCGATAGTTTAAAATTGTAAAGAAAGTCATTATTTTAAAGAGAGAATTAAGTTATATTACGTTATCAAAGAAGTTTTCTCGAGTCGACTGAAGGTTAATGCAATCATACAACAAATGTTTTACTGTAAATGGTTTCTGGCATGCTACATTGTATACAATGAGGCTGAAAATCATCGACTCGGTGACTTTCTCTGTAGGTACGATGTTGGAGTTCAAAATTGATGGAGTGTGATTGTTGTCTATGCGTTCTTATAAACTTTGTAATAAGTATTTGAAAACAAACAGGTGGTATCAACAGAGCTGCTTTCGCGGTGCAAACTGCCTTTCTATTAGCGAATGGAACCGATGGTATGCCATAAACTCACTAATACATTCTTAATTGCGATTGGTGACGGCGTGTGAATGCTATTTCCCATTAAAGCAAAGAAAAAGTCTTCAAATGCGCTAAGATTTGAAAATTTATTTTTTTCATCTTGCACGCTCAAAGAAAGCTGTGGTAAAATGGTGGCCCCGGTAGGTCAGTGTCCCGTCCGTAAACTGCGCACTGCTTGAATGGACACGGACTTTCCCGCCACGCATATCGAACGGCAGCCACGGTTACGTGGCCACACTTAATTGTGTTCAGAGTAACAGACGATACATCTTGTGATGTCATTGGTGCAGGTTTCCAATTTCCATTGTTTTTATCACAGAGCGCTTCTGAGCAGCATACCTTTCAGTAAAGAAATGATACATTTACTATAATATATCTACTAACAAATAGTTAGTTACTTAACGGTCAAGCAAGGGTCAAGTCACTTCGGGCCTTACAACAATGATAAGGTTCACTTAAACACTGGCACTGTCATGCGTCGTCAGAGGATAATTCAGATACTGATCAATTATATAATATACAGTGATTATTACGCGTGTCGATACATTATTACATGTATGACCCTTCTTGTATTAATGTAAGATTTGCATACTTGATCCATACAAATGTAAATAACTTCTTCAAAATCCCGTCTTGCATTTTTCTGTTTAGTAATCATAAAAGGTTACTGGAACTTCTTGTTTATATTTCAAATAACGTTCATATATAAAGATATGCTTCATAATATTGTGTTTACTCTACCTCAAAGTTAGTGGTGTTAGCATTAACCCTGATAGGCGTTCGTCCCTGGTCATACTCTATATTCAGGGAGTGACCGGTCAATTGGTAGTCCGAAAGGTATGGGCCCTGGTACTCCAGCCCAGACTTGTGGTATGCCACAGCAAGAGCAGATAGGGCCAGACGGGATGCCACATCATGCTTGAAACGGGGATGGATGCTGAATTGAGAGAGAACACCAAATTAATATTGCAGTAAAGATAATAACAATAAAATACAACATAACCTGAAGTAAATTGACATATTTGAAAACAATTGACATTTACAACGAAGCGACTATGTATTTGATGTTTTGTGATATATTCTCGAATTTCGGGAGTGTTTGGATTATTTTTATTGTGGTAGGCATCCTTCATTGACCAGGCCATTTAAGGACGTCCCTCCATGTGTATTATGTATGTGTGCAAGCGACGTGTATTTGATGCCCACTTGAGAGTACTACCTCAGTGAGCGAGACGCAATGCCGATACGCCTGGTTAAAAAATCTACCAAATCACATTAATATATTGACACCGGATTACGATTACCCTGAAAGTTAAAAGTGTATCTTGGAACAAGTACCATTTAAAGGACTTTGGTATATCCCAGCCTGGGCACACTACGTAGGAATTGGATTGCACAAAATACACATAATTAGACATGTATACATCTATATACCTACATAAAAATAACAGAAACTAAAAAACGATTGTAAAACATTGCTCTTGAAGATATCTTACTGATGATTTTTTTTTTTTGCAAAATAGCAAAGGTGGAATGACCAACATGTATGCGGAATTCTTAAACTTTGAAAAAAGTCTATTGAGAAAGGAGTAGATAAAGTCATGAAAATAAATCGTGATGCGATGGGCTGGATGGGATAGACATGGGCAAGCCTTTTCCCCACTTTTTATGGGTAAGGGGGTGGGTGGGGGCATTATTAACAAGGGTAAACGCTTAGCCTTGGGTTGATGAACCTGATAAACAGAGGCAACTGGGCAAAAACATCATAAACTCTCACAGATGTGCCACAGTCCACTAGTGTATGGAGTATAAGATGCAGATATAATGATGGACACGCTTGTGGAAGAAAAAGGCTATCTGATCATTTTCGGCTGATATGCTAGACTACGATTTTCATCTTTCGAATTGGAACAATTTCATGTGCATGAACGTGTAATGTATTTACCGAATACATATAATTAGAAGGTATGCTTGCGATGTCTTTCGATTATAGGGGAGACAAATGGAAAAATAATTACGATATCCATGTCGGGTGCAAAAAACGTTCGTTGTTTTGCATGTATTACAGATATAATTTTCTTCTGCTATTTAGCGAAATCCCGCCATTAGAACAATATATTTCCGTATTTTACCAGCAACGTTTTTAAGCTTATCCCTTATACATTTTAACCAGACATGGTCAGAAAGACGCTTGGTATCAGTAAGTGCCAAATTCAAATGCAGCGGTGCAGTTGTTTTTTATTAACGACTTCAAATTGTAGAAAGGGGATAAAGAAATCAGGAACCAATGCAGGTGTGATTGGTTAGAGAAAGATACATAAACAAATTGATTTCAAAGGACATGCTCTTTGTATCTTGAAAACTATTTTGAAAACTACATGTAACAGTAAAACATGTAGAAACGTGTGAAGTGATTCGTACCTGCCGAATGGTGAACTAAAATCCGGTAGGTCTAAAGCAACAGACATGAAGGTGTTCGGCATCTTGGCGTTTGGTACTTTTCCATAACCGGCTGTTTGCGCCCACCTCAGGGAAGGAAACCCTTTGCTTTCTTCTCCAGCCCTAAATGGTGCCAGCTACAAAGATAAGTTTCTATATGCAATCCCATAATATAAAAAAATGTTATATTATACAGAGAGAATCTTCTGTACATTATATCAGCGTCAACTAGGTGGGAGGGAAGGGGGATGGGGACATATATAACCCCGCATACACGTATATATTAAATATATAAATATTATTCTTTGTATTCTGATGTTATTTTTTATCGAATTGCCTTTTTATTTTTTTGGGATGATCTCGCGTTGAGAACACATTTTCCCGCCATTTTCTCGCTAAAGAAGGGGGATGTGTGAACACTCTGTCACATATAAGCTTCAGTTTCTAGGCTTATTCAAAACACCGAGAACACTGCTATCAGGATATTATAATGAAACGATGTGGACACGGTTACAGATTTCCGGAATCGGCAGAAAAAATACTAAATCATAGAGTGAATAGGTAAAATGTTAAGTGTACTTTTTTATGTTAAAATCGTAAGGATTACACCAAAAGAGGATGGGTTGGCACTTCTGCATTATACTGCCAATACAGAAGGATTAAAAAAAGATTGAAAAATGAGCAAATGCAAATGAGTGTTGTACAAATGTTTACGTAAAGGGGCATTACTCTCTTAAAAAGGTCCAAAACATGAAATTATAAAAGGGGGGTAACTTTCTATAGTAATGTCACTACGCAAAAAAAATCAAAGAAATCTACCAAAATGCATAACCGGACAAATTATGTCTACGGAGAGACGGAGAGACGGAAAAGCTGATTAAAGTATACCCCCCCCCCCCCNGTGGTTGTAGGTTGATTGGGTATAGTAATCGAATTGATATTTTCTGACGAAAAACAACTTGTTTTATCACTGTCAATTTCTAAATGATGGGGATATGAATAATCTAAGGCGTTTTATAAAATTCTAGGCATAATTACAAAACAAATTACATCACGAATATTGATTGTGATATATTGAGCTCGATTTATCAGATCGATTTATTAGGATAGCTTGATTAACTGCATTCTGTTATGTCGTAAATACAAGCACTCAACCTGTACAAATCCAAATTGAAATTCTGCGGATGTCGTATGAAGGGATGCTGAGCTAAACGTTTGTCTCCAGTCGTTTATCATTTCTGGGAACTGGCAAGTATACAAAGTAGACGCTCCAGCATTTGCCTCCCCTACGACAGACAAGTAAAATCAACATCTTGTTTTTAAATTCTGGTATTCGTATGGCTAATAAGTGTCATAAAGAAAATGTAAAGCTTCAAAAACATACATGAAAAGTGATATCAGTAAATAGTATGCCCTGTCGTGGTGATTTTGCTGCAATACTGTGCTGGTGTCTTTTGCACGTTATTTAAGTTATTTACAGAAGAAATTGCTAGCACATGTAGATACTATGGGCCAAGAAATAAAATCTAATATAATACTTGATCAGCTTAGAAACCATGCTAGCAACCAAAACTTGTATATGGATCATCTGAATGACACACCAGCATGCAGATATGGACATGAATTTGTTTTTATTTTTATAAGCCCACTCTATAATAGCATTAGAATGAAATTAGTACAAAACATTTCTCAATTTGGTATTATTGATAACCATGATCATTTTAATCTGAATAATCATGATATGCTGCACTGATACCAACAAATACATTTTATAAAATATGTAAAAGTGGAGATAATTCGGATACTTAACATTCGATATTTACGATTGACAGTTCACCACGTTTCGTCGTCCATCTTGTTGTTTTCACATTCAGAACCTAGTTACGTAACCGGAGTGTTCCGAGTAGCTTTTGCGCGGCTATTGCACGTGCAAAGTGCCGTGTTTCTGTCTATATAAAGCGGTGGTTTTGTTTAGAAGGAAAGTCCTCGTAAGGCTATGCTTATAGGAGTAGGCCTCGTAGCCACTAGTATTAATGAACGGTGTTGTATAGTGTGCGTAGGATGGGTTGTCAATAAATATACATGATTAATTTAATTGTTAATATCAAAAACATAAACAGAAAATGATTGAATAATAGTTGAAAACTATTTATTTGACAAGCTAAATTAGACTTATCTCCCCTTCTCTATTTATTTGGATTGTTTTGACAATATATATATATATATATAATGTTTGTAAATAAGAAAGGATTTAAAAAGTCCTTGTCTGATGTCTAATCTAACTAATATATAAAGCCAATCAAACCTGTGGAAATTGAAATTGAACATTTAGGTTTGTAACATGTACAATTCTAAAAGGATTCATTTCTAAAGTACAATGCCAAAGGCACGCAACAGCATTCCGCCCGGTCACATTATACCGACAAAGGGTTACCAGTTGTTGCTTTTTTATAAATCCTGAACGTTAAGTAGGGAACAACAACTATCATTTTGAGGATTTCGGTATGTCTTGGCCTCGGGACAGAACCCATATTGTTCCCCACTTTAGCAAACGCTCAACACTAAGGCCGAAAAAGGAGGTATTGCCAAGCAAAGCTCTACGAAACAGAACTATTTCAAGACATTAGAGATAAATGTAAATATCCTATTGATTCAAAATGTGCAGCAGATTTACAATATCTTTATACTCGATTTAAATTAAGTGCATCTAAAGGAGACGTTTATTTGATACAGTTTCTGTGCAATCAATCTATGATCATTTACATTCAATTAATCTTCATAATAAGATAAGATATATTTTATAAACAATTCGTTTGCTATTGATATATTTGGACCTCTTTACACATCTTAACCTTTTGTTTCTGGTTTTTATGTATTCAGTTTTTTTGTGAATGTCAATTTTTTACATGGTTGATTGGCCCTAAATGACTCAAATTGTCGATGGGCCGTAAAACAATACAAAACACAAATACAAATACGTTGGTTTAACAGCTTAATACTGGTAAAATACTACATTTACAGCCGACCGAAAGCATATTTGTTAGGAGATGTCTACCAAATTACAACCAGCCTTACCTTGATACCAAAAAGCTCCATAAATAGTATTCCTGGTAAAAGGACTCATCATCGCATTCCACAAATCCGAGTTATGGATTGCTCTGAAAATTGCAAGTATTGCTATAATTGAACAGCTTTTTGATTCGGGGATTTTGTATTTACTAAATAAATAAACTTGTTCTATGTATGAAATCGCCTACCTTTTTCCATTGTGAGGACATTTACTAAGAGCAGACGCCAATGACCACCATTCTATTCTCGTTCCACCCCAGTTAGATTCAATTAATCCGATTGGATATTTGAATTGTGAGGACAACTGCTTCCCAAACAGCCAACAAACAGCCGAAAACCCGCCTAGGGTTGCTAAAAAGTGATATGAAATGTGATTTCAATGATAGTAATGTTTGCCATGAACATAATGTATATTGTTTCATTTGCGCTAGGTCGACATGTTGGTGCCGATCATGAATTCGATATTACTGATGTCCTTTCCTAAATTTGAAATCATACAAAATCGTTAGAGCACTCATAAAGATATGTAATTGTATTTATCTCAAATTTCAAAACACTAATTGTACCTCGATGATTGTAAAGAGATACGCCAAAAAAGTCACCTGAGGTTAACAAAAAATGAAAAATGGAACGGAACTCAAAATGGAACACTTTTTACATATATTCATGTAACAGTCATTTTGTTTCTCAAAATAGACGAATATATTCATTTCAAAATTAAAATAAAATATTGTTTAATTCAATTTAAAGGAAATTTTATCCGTCTACATTTTTATGTTCAAACGAGGACAAATATTTTGAATTCTTTCAGTTAGTTTTGTTAAATGATTTATATGACGAATTGTTCCATTTTGGTTACCCGCAAGCTAAATCTCTTAAGTAAATCTTTGGTTAACCACAAGCTAAATCGTTCAATCTTACTCAACTAAATTAGCTGTATGAATAGACACACTCGCTGGTATTACCAAAGAAATACAGGAAATAAAAGCTAAAGGCATTTACTATTTCATTTTTGGCAAAATGTAGGTATTTTAGACATTGAAAAGGAAATGTTTATTTTTTTTTTCAAAAGAATTCCAATTTTGGTTCTCATCTCTTACCCATTTCATTAGCTTAACAACCTTATCGCCCGTGTTAAATATGTTGTTTTTCCTCACGTCACACGAAGTTAATTCTAAACCTATAAAAACTATATTATTTTTTGATGACAGAATTGCTGTTTAAGTATTGTTTACCTTGAACTGGAACAGACCAATTAAGGAAAGGTGTGTCGTTGAAGTCGTGCAGTGCAACGCTGGACTGTGTGTGCTTTGTTTTGAATATGCGGACATTGCTGTAATTTGAAGCCTCTGCGAACTCGGCGGAGTGATTTGTAACCTGTTCGACGAAACCATATTATTAAAATTAGTACTGTCTAGCAAGGATTTGTTTTATAATTACTGTTGATGATTCTATTTAAATGCTTTATTGGATACAGCATGTTTCCATCGACTGACCCAATGTTTAGTTTAGTATTGTTACCATTTTTCTTTGTAACAGCCGCCTTGACTGGTAATACCTTGATGGTAATACCTATCTCGCTATTGCCGTTTGGTTTCCCAAATGAGGAAAATGAAAGGTTCTGTACGAGGACAAACACCAACCAAAGTCGCGTAAAAGTGATACATTAAACTTAATTTTGTTCTTTTAACATTTAAATTTTAAAGAAATCTAAGAATGTGTTAGCCCGGTATCAGATGCGACTGGCTCGGAATTCAAGCTTGATCGTTTCCTAGTGTGGCTGTTAACCAGTGTAGACTTACGAATATACATTATCGTGAACAGTCGCAATATTGCCTGACTTATGGCATCGACTAAAATTCAAACAAAGCAAAACAAAATCTGTAATTGTTTGTCAGGGTTAACGACGTAGTAGCAGTTAAGTAATATGAGGACCCCAGCAAAGGGAAGGGAAGACACTGCATAAAAACAAAGATTTAGTAGGACAAATGATTGATGTCACAATCTTGCATTGTGGGCACGGATCAATTATGCTTATACGCAAAACCTTCAAACATATTTGAACATCATCCACACTCACCCCATACATATTAAATTCCATATTACTCTGTCCAGAGCATATCCATACATCACCAAACATGACATCATGTAGAGTTCTCGTCCCTTGACCCGACTTTGCCGCCAGGGTGTACGGACCATAGTTGTCGCCAATGACAACAACTTTTGCAATCCAAGTCATGATTCCTGTCGAGCTGTGGGTGACTACATCTTCGCTGACCTTGTGACCGTTTAGGACCAGCTGTACTGTGTCACTGAGGTTAGAGGATGTCCCCCAAACAATCGCCCCGCCCGCTCCCTGCTGCAGCACCATATGGTCGTTGTAGTACGTCATTTATTGTGGAAAAACGACTGCGTTGCTGTCCGGTGAGATACCATTGCATAATCTGTTCTTGACGTTTTACAGTTTTGAGTTTAGCTGGTGAATTCATTTTCTCAGCTTCATCAGGCATGATAATCACATATGTGTAATTACCCATTCTAAATTGTACACTCGGCACGCGACGCCAATATTCAAAAGCCACCCAAGTAACCATTCAGCTTGTGTGTTCATAGGACGGTGGGGTCACTGATAAGGTGGGGTCCTTACCTGGAACGATGATTGGCTTGTTTCGCAGGTGATTGATGGCTAAGAAATTTGCCGAAAGAGTTATCAATGTACGTTTTTGTTAGAACAAGAAGTCTATTGTCTACTATTACGGAATTAGATAATCAGTTTTGACCATATCGGCCTTTGAAAATTGAAACTTAAAGCCTTTCATCGTTTTTCTTTCTTCTTTACATATACAATTAATATACATTATTGTTTTCAAAAACAGATAAGGCCTATGTGGTCAAACAATTTAACATATGGACTCCCATATTTATTTACTTAAACACGTCTTTCAATTAACTTATATTTACATATAGAATATTTAATTTCCAGACTGATGTCCGTTTTTTGAGTTGGAAAATTGCATATTTTCTTTGAAAGATACTTAGAAGTTTCCTTTGATTGAACTGTTAAGCGTTCACATCGTCTGCACATAAATAAGTACAAGAACAAAGGATAAATTCAACCTTAATGGCTTCTTTTATAAGATCGTAGACGTGATGGTATTGTAATCGACACATTAACACCAATTAATATACTCAAAATATATTCATGCTATTTATTAAGAGTTGAGTATAAGTTATTAAAAATTTGTTATCATAATGTCATTTCCAATGTTTCATGCGTTATGACATCGCAATAACAATCTCATATATACATGTATCAATGAGAAAATAACCCAGATACATATTAATTATATATGTAATATATAATTCTCTGAATAACCCTTTTGATAGAATAAAACAGACATATATTGGAACCTCGGCCTGGCAATTTATATATATATAATTTAGTCCGATCCTGCCCCGTTCCTGTAATTGCAATTCTTGTATCATATATACTTTATACCCGATAAGGATAACTAAATATATACAAGAAATATATATATATAAGTCCGATCCTGCCCCGTTTCTGTCCGTTCCTGTAAATCGTCGCCCATTTCTGTCCTTTCCTGTAAATCGTCCCCCGTTCCTGCCCGATCCATATCAATACAATACTCGTAAATCGTTGCAATTCTTTTATCAAATATATCTTATACCCGATACAAAATATATAATAACATAAATATAGGTATCATAAGTAATAACGACATAAATGTATATATATAATTTAGTCCGATTCTTTTATCATATATATCTTATACCCGATAATGATTCTTAAATGTATCCAATATGAATATTCATTAATGTACATAATGATTAATAGATTTCTTCCCGTTCCTGTCCGTTTCTGCCCATTTCTGCCCGTTTCTGCCCGTTCCTGCCCGTTCCTGCCCTTTCCTGTAAATCGTCGAACCCCCAGAGACGTAATTGTTTTCCCCTCTGAATGAGTATGTAATGATAGGTTTCGTTTTTAATCTATTGTTGCAAAACATGATATGTTTCCTCAAACGATGATTTGTTTCTTTTTGTTAAAAGTATGTGTATACTGTAACGTCACGCTACCACAATTGACATTCTACCCAAATTGGTAACACGGTCAGAAAATGGTGCGAATAGTACTTTATAATTAAACTGAAATGTCGAGCTGCCAACTGAGAAAAAGTAAATAAATGTGTCTGTGTTTATCGAGATATTTTTCGTTGCTTGCTTGTCACACTCTGTATACCAGTCGAATTGTGAACAGAGAATAGTAATTTGGGAACCGTACTATAATGATAATGTCCACACTGAAATGTATTTACGAAGTTCATAAGTTTGTGCAATCGTTTTATGTATGTTTGTTTTAGGAACTATATATTCAATAGTTGGACGCCATTCAAATCCTCTTAAACCAAAGATGGCTATGGTCTGGGAAACTATTGTGACACCCTTAAGTTAGGTATATCTTTCCGTCATCATATATTACATTTTGCTGTTGAATATCCATAGATCTTCTTTTTTGCTTCTTCAAGTTTATCTCTTCCATTCTAAACTTCTGTAATTTCACGACACAGTTAATTTGACAAAGTCCAACTTAAACAGTTTATGGCTTATTTTTACATATTTCCCAACACAATTGATTTAAGGCAGAAAATCGAGTCATATCAAAACTGTAACGAATCTTTTTTGTTAAATATTATAGGAGTAGGATTTTGTTTTATGTTTTGTAATATTTAACGGCCCATCGACATTGAAGTCATTAGAGGTCAAACAACACAGAAAAATTGAACACATTAAACTTGAAATAAAATGGGTTAGCAGGTGTTCACTGTAAAGTATAACAACAGGGAACAAATTGATTGTAAAATATATCAGATTTTATTATAAAGATCAATTGAGTGTAAATAATCATATGTTGATTTCATAGAAACTGGATCAAATACGTTTCAATTAGTCTATTATCTTTGAAGAAACTTCATAGAGAAAATACTTACAGCCCACGACATTGCAAAAGGTCAGACAACACAACAGCCAATTGATTCCAGTCATTGTTTTCGAACCGTTTCCTTACTAGCCAGACACGACTGTGTTCTTTAGTATAAATTCCCTTTCCTTATCTCCCTTAACGTTATGACCGGCTAGCTGAATTGTTTATCTAGAACAAGTACATTGTAAGTGATCACCTTAGTTGGACTTGATATAATCGTGACAACTGAATGGCTACCACTGCGAAGATTGAAATATACTAGTACAGGTTATGACGTACCTGATTTCCAAAGTGCAGTGTACGGATGTAATGGGAAATATGCACAAGAGACCTAAAGGGCCTGTATCGCTCACCTGGATATTTACGCAATCATCACAAAATATACATTTGTATTATACAAGTATATACCCAAGAACCTTATCCCTAGGATTGTGGCAAGACCCAAGGCCCGATTCTGATATCATGATTTTGTTTGTCTTTTAATGCCCAGCAATTGTATATATGGTTATGGGGTGGGGATCTCAACTGGTTCAAAGTTATGACGCAGGGATTAAGTCTCCACGCTCCAGGGATGGATCAAGACCTCCCGGGTCATCCTGATATTATATGTGCATTCCTCTCATTATGTTCAGCTTTTGTTCATATGGTTACACGTCGGGGATTTTAAATCTTAACTGTGTCCAAGGTATGTACTCTTTTTTTTTTGCACCGCCCCTCAGCCCCTTTATTTGTACAAGTTTGAATCTACACCACCGGAGAATCTTTGTAACCATATATGGTCGATATATATATCTTAGTTCCAACGAAAAAGTCTTTTATAGCAATAACGCCAAATTTCCATGTATTGCAATAACGCAAAACCCCCATTAATCTAACTGAATGCCAAAAGGAAATAGCAATAAGAAAATGACACCAACATCAAAAATCCTTTTTACTCGATGTTGTATAATACTGCGACAATGATGTTGGCTACAAAACACTACATACGTTTTGTGGCAGTTTATATCGTTATCCCAGCAAATGAAAAACAAGATATCGATTCAAACAGTCTAATTTCGTCATCTTATTACCTTTTTGGCTTCATTTCATATGGAAATAGGCAAACAAAATAATTAGTATACTGCGAATAACATACAATGTATAGAACATCAAAAGTCAAAAGTAATTTCCCTGTTAATTTTCCTTCTCTATCAGTTTTCAAAAGGTCGTTGAAAGGTTAAGCACTGAATATTCAGGTACAAACAAAACGCCTAATAACTTGCTGAAGATGGCCAGATAAATGTTTCGAGGAACAATATATTTTTGATAGACGTGGGTTATCAAAATAACTTAATTGTTTTTCCAAACATGTGAAATTGTAATGAAATTGAATTTTTTTTTTTTTTTTTTAGTTTTGTTAAATAAGAGTTATGGTGTGACGCAAAGATTTTTACGATTATGTAAAGCTTAGCCATAAACCGTGCAAGCAATACTTTTAAACCAATTCCGAATTATATTCCGGTTGGCAGAGTTATCTCGCTTTATGTCAAGTTTCAATTTGTTCCACGAACCCGAACATAGATATTCATGTCATTATATTTTATAGTCATAAAAGATTGAGACAGATTAAAGCGAATTATTATGACGTGCCTGATATGAAAACATAGTTCTGTATATCAACGTGAAACTGGACTATACTAAGAAATTGTTTTATTTAATACTATTTTCAATAATTTCTGATTATTTAGCTGTATACAAATGTTTTTAGAATTCAATATTTTACCTTTCATTGTTTTGTTTGGTCTATTGAACTTTGAACTAACTCTGTAAATAGTTATTTACGCCTTTGTATCTAAGGGAAATGCGTGCGAATCGATTCATACATTTTGTATCTGTAATTTAAAGATATCTCCAGCGGGCCAGAACCACATACCTTTCTAATGAGGTATCGCCAACCAAGGCACCAGAAACAGAAGGTTCAAAGGGGTAGGGATACATATTTCCAGGTGTAGTATCCAAATTAGTGCATACTGATTAATAAATAACTGACAAAGATAACAATCGATTTATTTTCTTGAAACAATCCCAAGTTCATTTAGTGTAAATTATGGTAAAACGGTGGTCCTGGAAGGTCAGTGTCCCTCCCATACTAGGCACACTCCTTAAAAGCGCAAGGACTTTCCCTCCAGGCATATCTGACGGCAGACAGGGGTACGTGACCACAAGGACTTGTATCAAGGGTAATGGACGATACATCATGTGACGTGATGGGTGCCGGTTGCCATACTCCATAGTTTAAGTTGCATTCACGATACGAACAACACACCTGAAATCCATTAAACATAGTATAGACAAGATACAATATATTTATCGTACAGAACGCAACAAGATATTTAAATAGTTAAAACAAAAATGCCACTAATTTTTTTTATTTTTTTTATGGGTCTTTTCACAACGTGAATGCTGCTTCGTCACTCTGTAAAAATAATCTACATCTGCTACAGCCTATAAGCACAAACATACATGTACGCATACACAACTCTCACAGAGGCACGTCCTTCAATGACCTCAGCTGTTGGAAGGACATTAAAGCCTGTACCAATAACCAAACATAATGTCCTTCCAACAGCTAAGGTCATTGAAGGACGTGCCTCTGTGTGTGTTGTGTATGCGTGCATGTATGTTTGTGCTTATAGACTGTAGCACATGTATATTATTTTTACAAATTGATTGTAATTGTAAAGTGGCGAAACACAAGACAAGATATTTAAATTGAAATTTATAAATATTAGATTAAAATGTAATGTATTAAGAAAAGTTTGTTTTCTGTATTTATACATGGTAGTTTGTATTAATTAGCTACGGATTATATCTACATAGTGGACAAAATACGCTTATCCTTCTGATCTGATTCTGAACAACGGTATTGAAAAAAATCTACATGTGCTACAGTCTATAAGCGCAAACACACATGCACGCATACACAACACACACAGAGGCACGTTAGCTATTGGAAGGACATTATGTTTGGTTATTGGTACAGGCTTTAATGTCCTTCCAACAGCTGAGGTCATTGAAGGACGTGCCTCTATGTGTGTTGTGTATGCATGCATGTATGTTTGTGCTTATAGACTGTAGCACATGTAGATTTTTTCAATACCGTTGTTCAGAATCAGATCAGAAGGATAAGCGTAATTTGTCCACTATGTAGATATAATCCGTAGCTAATTAATACAAACTACCATGTATAAATACAGAAAACAAACTTTTCTTAATACATTACATTTTAATCTAATATTTATAAATTTCAATTTAAATATCTTGTCTTGTGTTTCGCCACTTTACAATTACAGTCGGTCTTTTGCGGTACATACGTAATCTCTAAAACAAATCAACATTATTGAGGCGAAATATCGATGTTGCGATTTTTTCCCCGATTCCGTAAAGTTTGAAACACCGCAGTTTGACAAGATTTACATTCTTAAAGTGAGAATCAGTGTATAAGTGAAATAAAAAAAAAGTTGGACCAATAAATTATAACTTATACTTGTATAGCACACAGATACTTAACATTTTCCAATACGGTCATAATGGCGACCGCAAGTTTTGCTTTCAGGTAAGTCAATATGCATCTCTTGAACCAAACGTGTTGTAAGTTTACCCCTCAGCAATCGATACGTATATAATTATTGGTTCTATGTCATTCAAACATATTACTCAATTGAGGGAAGTAATATGTCCTGTCCCCTGATAGAAACAAAATCAAGCTAATTCAAATTGGTATTTTACGTTTCACTGCTTGACATTCACTTCACAATTGATATTGGTAAGGTCTTGGCAGTTTGCTGTGAGTAAGATATGACAGGGTGAAATGTCATGCTAATTAATGGCTACACGTTACATGTATGACAATTCAGTGAGTTGGTACTTAAGTGTTGCCCCATCATCCGTATAAACCGTCTTCAAATGACCTTGGCTTTTTCGAAACCATAGAAATCCAGCAGTACCAACTCAATAGTATTCCGTTTAAACGGGAAAAAAATCCTAGAACGATTTGTTTTTGACTGCCTAAGGGAGTGCCACATGTACGTTAAAACAGATAAACAAATGCTAAAGTCCGCAGAAAAAGACATAAACTTCAGCTTTACAATTCACTTGATCCCAACAAAGTTAACATCTCAGAAAATATTTTAGGTGAAGACTAAGACTGAAAAACAAAAGACACATTTGTTTCTTTGGGGTTAAAGTCCTCGCAACAGCCAGGGTCATATAAGGATGGGTGTCTAGGGAGGTACAGCCTAAAACAGAAAGTAAATAGAAAAACGACAAGACAAGAAAGTGTTGCAATCGGGGCAGCTAATCATATTTTGGGTTCTTCCATGTCCCCTTCCTTGAAGACACGGCCCCATAAGTCACCCTTTTCGATACTTTGTCTATTCTTGATTTCTTCATTGTCCCCTAAATGGAAGACAAGGAAGAAACCACCCCAGATACTGCGGGGGCCCATATTAGTCGCCTCTTTCCATCATGTAGTGGGAAACAGCAGGCCTTTTGTTTTCCCGAACATGCTAGGATTAAAAAAAAACACGTACCTCGAAATTAGTTACATTAGCATTCACCCTAATGGGGGTTCGTCCCTGGTCATATTCTATATTAAGAGAGTGACCAGTCACATGATAATTTGATGGGTAAGGACCCTGGTACTCCAGCCCAGACTGGTGGTACGCCACACCGAGAGCTGACAAGGCCAGACGGGATGCTACGTCATGCTTGAATCGGGGATGTATTCTGGAATGTAAGAAAAGCAATTATTCATTAAATGTTTTATGTTGAACAGCGCAGACCAAATTTTGTTTGGACCACTTTATGAATGATTTCGTGTATAAATAAATAGTACAGTACTTTTGCAGTCCACTATTTTACAACAAAAACAGAGGATATCCACTGGAAATTTTCAGATTTAATCAACATTCAAGATCAGATGGTACAAAATAAAGGCAAAATACTAATGATTGCTCTCTATAAGGTACAATTTAGAAGTACCTTACACGTACAACCGAAACGCTATTATATTTGGTTGAATAACATACATTCTATTTACGTTTTTAGTCTTGTCTTAACTTTGTACATTGAGTTGTTAAAGTCGCGCCATTTTTAGAAGTCAAAAGCATTCATTGTGATAATATGTTTGCAGAATCGAACATAAATATCAACATTAGTATCAGTAGTTTTCAGAGCATTGCTGGCTGTCTGGATGTTGCCTTACGTTCCGTAAGGAGATTTAAAGTCTGGAAGATCCATAGCCACTGCCATAAATGTATTTGGCATCTTTGCGTTTGGGACCTTCCCGTAGGCTGCTGTCTGGGTCCATCTCATCCACGCAAAATAGGTTCCGTTCGTACCATTGTGGTTCCCTGCAAGCTAAAAACGTTTCCTATGTTAAAAAGCGTTCATACGATGTACATCTACAGAAACGTTATAGTATATAACCAGACGATCTTACCAAAATAAATTAAAAAACCCCCAAAAAGTCTACCACACAACTGTTTTACATTCTTTGAACAGCTTGGGTCACAAACGCTAAACAAAACGAGAGCAAAGCTACACTTAACAATATATTAAGAGCCAACCTATCCCACGTAAACAACAGTAAACGCCACATTATAAAAAACAACCTGTCATATTAAGAACAGCAGTAAGCACCACCTTATCAAACCAACAATGACCAGAGAGCGCCTTGTTATAAAACGAACTTGTCCCACCTAAAACAAAAGTAAGCGGCAAAGTATAAAACCAGCCTGTTCCACACTGAAAAGTGGGCACCTTATTATAGAAACAACAACTTGTTGCACACAAAACAACGGTAAGCGCTTTATTATAAAACCAACCGGTCCGACATAAAACCAACAGTAAGCGCAAAAGTATAAAACCAGCCTGTCCAACACTGAACAGTGGGCACCTTGTTATAGAAACAACTTGTTGCACACAAAATAACAGTAAGCGCTTTATTATAAAACCAACCGCTCCCACACGAAACCTACAGTAGGCGCCATAGAGGAGAGTTGTCTACCTTAATGGTGTTACAGTGGCTCAAAACACTCTGTGCATTTTTCACCAAACTCCACATTTAGTTAGAGTCTACAGCTGTGAATCGCTACCTAAGCCCATGTAACATTCCAGAGCATACAAGACTCATCAAATTGTTATAATGGACACTATTTCTAGAGAAGCCAATGTGCACTAAGCTTAGCCAGCGACAACAAAGGCAGTGTTACCTGTGCTAGAGCCCAGACAACCTGGCTAGAAATCGCACAGGTAAGGCTACAAATAAAACACAGCAAATGGGTACAGGTGAACTGTCAGTGGAGCGTGGGTCCCACGAAGAGATTAAGGACATGCCTCAGTCAAAGGATGACTGTATTGACAAAAATCGTAGAGGCGATTAAAGGGGAACATAACATTGCAAAGTGTACAGGCAATGGGTCACAAGCCCAATTAACGCCTATGCAAAGTAATCAGGAAATACCTAATGTGACTACAGTTATTCTTTGGGCTTCCAACTGCAAGAGAATGTGCATAGTCAATCAAAATGCAAATATTATTGCAAAATCCGGAGTGACTTCACCCAGAGTACAGGAACTACTAGACTTTGCCGGCCGCGACAAGGACATAAATACGAGTGACATACAGGAGGTTTTTGTAATCCTCGGCACCAACAACGTGTCAGGAAATAAAGGTGATGCAGAAACTGTGGAAATAGCATTTGCAAAAGCTGTGGACAGTACCAGACATTTCTTTCCAAACGCACATGCGTACATTTCCGTTACACTACCACGGAGAGAACAGTCCAAGCATTTACAAACCTTAAACAATACAGCAAAATGAACTCATTTATGCAGAAATGGTGTAAAAATGTAGAGCGAGTGATCTACATGTACTTAGAAATAGACAAACTATTCCTTAATAAGGATGTCCCTATCAAAAGGCTCTATGACCTGAATGACACTCAGGGGGTTCACAATAGTTCTCAGGGAGCAGAAATGATTGTGGCATCCTACAAGGGAATTTCAGAACAAAGTAACAAGAAGTGACATTTCCATGGACAACCCTCCAGATGCCAAACAGGTTCGATGTGGTAAGCATTCATTTGAAAAATGATAAGGTATTGAGAATATTACTTTTCCAATGATTTTCTATGGCTCTTTTAATATACACCATCAATGTTAATGGTCTTAATAATTCTGGAAAACTAAGAAATTTATTTTAATGGTTTCGGAAAATTGAAGCAGATACATTTTATGCCAAAGAAGTTCATTGTGGTGATAAAAGTAATATGCTTAAATAGAAAAGAGAGTGGAATGGGGAATGTGTTTTCTCAAGAGGTACATCCTCTTCTAGAGGAGTTGCAATATTAGCTAAACGTGGTTTAATTTTAAAAACATTATGTATTGAAACTGACAAAGAAGGTAGATATATTATTTTAATTTTTGAGCATGAAAATGTGAAAATAACTTTATGTAACATATATGCACCGAGTGATACTAAAAGTAAACAAGCATTCTTTAATGCAATACGACAGAAACTGTCGACAGAAAAATATTAAAACAATTCCATTATAATGGGTGGTGATTTTAATTGTGTCTTTAATAAGAATTTAGATAGAAATATAACTGTACCTCCTTAAAAGCAGAGGGTGGGAAGCTAGAGCTAAACAAAATAATCCAGTCAGTGGAATTAGAGGATGTTTGGAGAAGGAGAAATCTGGATAAAAGACGCTTCACATTTAGGGGAAACAATAAACAATCAAGAATAGACAACATTTTAATTTCTACTTATTTAGACAGTAAAGTTTCTAAAACAGATATAGAGTTCTGTCCCTTTACAAAAGGTGACCACTACGGCGTGCGTTTTATTAAAATGATAGGATACTGCCAGGATACTGGAAAATGAATAGAAACGTCATAAAAATGATATATTCGAAGAAATATTTACCAAATTCTGTAATGAATGGAAAAACAGAGATAATCGTTTTGCATCAATTAATGGATGGTGGGATATTACTAAGACAAAAATAACAGATACATGTATATTTGTAAGTAAACAACTTAATGTTAAAAATGAAAAAAAAAATAAACATCATGAAAAAGAGTTAAAAAATACTGATGGTAATCCTGAAACAACAAAACAACTAGAAAACCAAATCAGCTCGTACTATGAAATTAAGGCAAACGCTGCTTTGGTAAGAAGTAGGATAAAATGGTATGAAGAAGGTGAGAAATCCACTAATTATCCACAAACAGTGGGTCTCAATTAAATGTGAAGACGGAAGCTATACAAAAGATATAAACGATATACTTAAGGAACAAGTAAAGTTTCATAGCAATCTGTTTACTACTGAAATAGATGTTGACGAAGCAAATAATCTACTACAGAATGTAGAGGCATCTATTGCAAATGAGGTAAGAACTGACTATGAGAAATTGCCTATTTAAAATGAAATGTATTCGTCCATTAGAAATTTGAAAGCCAACCGATCACCTGGTATGGATGGTATTATTGCAGAGTTTTATCAAACTTTCTGGAATTTAATAAAGCACCAATTTACTAATGTTATAATAATTATATTCCAAACAAAAGAGCTATTGTCATCTCAATATAGGGGTTTGACAATCCTTTTTTACAAACAGGGAGAAAGGGAGGGCATCCAAAATTACAAAAATTTAACCAAAATTCTTGCAGGACGCATTAAAAGGGAACTTTAAAATATTATTCATAGCGACCAGAAAGGATTTGTAAAGGGAAGAAACATAGAAGTATCGAGAACTCCAATGAAAAAAATAAAGGTGGAAGTATTGTTTTTTTAGATCAACAAAAGGCATTTGATCGGATGGAATGAGAATGGGTAGAAATGTGTCTTAAAAAAAATGGATTTGGGAAAGCAATTATAGAATGGTTAAAAATGACATATAAGCAATCATCTAGTCACATCCTTACAAATGGCTTCATTTAAAAACCATTTAAGTTATCACAACCCGTAAAACAAGGGTGTCCGATAGCACCGTTGATGTATACCCTCCAAGCTGAACCCATGGCATGTTCTACTAGGAAAAATATAACAATAAAAGGAAATGCTATTCCATATAGTACAAATGGAAAAATTGAAGCAAAAATTGATGTTTGCCGACGACTCACAATTATTTGCTGGGAATGAAAATTCTATTCCATTAAGTTTTAAACCAATACGAAAAGGCATCTGGTCCCAAAATAATTAAGAAAAAACCCCAAAAGGTATGTACATAGGTACATGTACATGGAAACAGAGACCTCCTAACTTTAAGGAAATTACTTGGGTAGAGAGAGTAAAGGCTCTTGGGATAATGCATGGTTATGGAATAAACACGGATGAAATTTAGGAAGATAAAATAAGAAAAAATTAATCAACCATATATTGTCGGAAAAAACCGAAATCTTTCACTTCAAGGAAAAATTCTTATAATAAAATCATTAATACTCTCAATTATCAGCAATGAAGTATCACAAACAATCATACCAAAGATACATAAAATCACCATAAACATTTTTTTACACATACTTATGGAACTATAATGTAAATAAAGTTGCAAAAGAAACATGTTATATAGAAATTGAAATTGATGGATTAAATATGATTGATTTTGACTGAATGGAGACGTTAAAGGGTATTAAAAGTATATTCAATATCATTCACTCAATATTACAAAGCTGTATGCGTTGGGGGAAATACTGGCTTCAACAATATGATTCTACCTTCTTTTAGTGTAAATGTAACACTACAAAATCACTAGAATTACAAAATATTCAACAGTTCTATAAGATCTCTCTTCAATGTTGGCAGGTTATGCTAAAACAACGTTCGGTCAAAACAAAAAATGAAATACTTAATCAAATACATGTATCACATTAAAAAAAAATCGATGTTCTGAAAAACTGGACAAAATCAAATATAATGAAAACAAAAGACATATGGAGTGAAGAAAGAAATAATTTTATAAATTCTTAAGAATTATTGGAGAAGTTACGATTCAAAGATAACTGGATATCAGAATTCTCCATAGTCAAGAAGGCAATTTCTTCATGTAACAATTGGTTACAAGAAATAAAACCAATTAACCATGATACTCCAGAAATTGAATAGTTGTAACTGATGAACTAAACACTAAAATAAATAAAAACGATGAAGTAATAGATCCGAATCGATTAAAGAATAAAATATTGAAAGAACTAATTTGGAATAAGAACTATTATCCCAAATCACAAAATGGTTGGGATGCTGTATATCATAATAATGACATAGATTGGGTTAAAATTTGGACTTCTTTGAAGTCATCTATAGCAAACAGGAAATGTAACGACTGCCAATAGAAATGCTTACATAATATTATTTCTACGCAGGCAAAATTATCTAAAATGAGACTGTCAAATGGTTTATGTACACTTTGTCATTTAGTTCAGGAAAATCAAATTTACTTATTCTTCAGATGTAATAAAATAACAGACATTTGGAAGACAGTTGACTCATTAATAAACAAAGCCTTACAGAAATATCAAATTAAAATCAAATATACCAAATAACTGAGAAAGTTGTAATGTTAGGAAGCTGTAATTTAAACCAAGAATATAATGCAATAATCAATTTGTTTGTCTTTACTACAAAGTGGCACATATGGAAAGAAAAAAATAAGATAATAATTGTTGACGAATATGAAGTTGCTGACTTCACACAGCATATTTTAAAGTGTATAAAACAAGAACTAAGGTTCACAATCAATGCAATTGAAAGCGTTCAAAGATACCAACAATTGTGGAATAAGTTACAAGCAATTTTTTCAAATTGAATTGAAATCAATGTAAGAGAAATTAAGTGGAAGGAAAGAAAATGATAAGAGAAAAAATGGACAGAGTGAGGAAGATGAGCGTACAAAATAGAGAGAGTCGGATAATGAAGATGCTGCATGCACTATTTACACGGATTAGGCCAGGCCTTATCCTGATATTCCCTATTGTATTCGGGATAATAAACTATAAAATAAAAAAAAAAAAAATCATATCAGCAGAAAGTCAAGACTTTATCATAGTCATAATAGAAAAAAATAGGATGCTAGCAATATTAATTACATACAATTTAACATTAGTTTTTGTTAAGATGAACACCAAAGTCGGATCCAAAACTGTCAAACAACAGACATATCGATCTCTTGTAAGACCTTCCTTAGAGTATACCTGTTCTTCCTCGGACCCACACACCAAATCAGACATAAACAAAGTTGAAATGGTTCAACGTAGAGCAACCCGTTATGTCTCCAACATGTTTAGGAACACATCCAGCGTTGGCGACATGCTAAACACTCTAGAATGGCACTCTTTAGCTGATAAAAGAAAAGATCAAAGGCTTACTAATCTCTACAATATTAAAAATGACTTCATAACTATAAGGAAAACTCAACGCGGAGAATGAAGATGATGCATGTACTAAGTACAGGGATTAGACCAGTCCTCATCCTGGTATTCCCTATTGTATTCGGGAAAATAAACCATAAAATAGAAAAACAAATCATATCAGCAGAAAGTCAAGACTCTATCATAGTCATAATAGAAAAATTAAAAATGACTTGGTAACTATAAGGAAAACTCCACTCATTCCACTAAATCGCCTCTCCCGCGCACCATTCCCATCAAAATTCTTACCAAATACCATCTTGCAAAATACAGTGTAGAAAATTTTCTTTTTTTCCAAGAACTAATTCCGACTGGAACACCTACCGCGACATATCACCTCTATTGATTCTCTTGATTCCTTCAAATTAGCACTTTCTCACATTTATTAGACCTCTTGTTATTCAGGTTTTTACAGTTTTTAACCAGCGTAGCTCTCTCTCTTGCAAATTATCTTCTATTTGTTGAATATTAAGCAGTATCCAATAGACAAAAACAGGATTCTGTAATGATCATAAAAGAGAAACGGAAATCCATAGTCAGGCATCTTTCATCGGGGAGTAAGGTTTGTGTTATAAATAAAACATGTACCGGGGAGTTAGGTTTGTGTTATGTATAAAACATGTACCGGGGAGTTAGGTTTGTGTTATGTATAAAACATGTACCGGGGAGTTAGGTTTGTGTTATGTATAAAACATGTACCGGGGATTTAGGTTTGTGTTATGTATATTACCGGAAGTTAGGTTTGTGTTAAATATATTACTGGGGAGTTAGGTTTGTGTTTTATATATTACCGGGGAGTTAGGTTAGTGTTAATCATATTACTGGGGAGTTAGGTTTGTGTTATATATATTACCGGGATTTAGGTTTGTGTTATATATGTTACCGGGGAGTTAGGTTAGTGTTATATATTTTACCGGGGATTTAGGTTTGTGTTATATATATTACTGGGGAGTTAGGTTTGTGTTATATGTATTACGGGGGAGTTAGGTTAGTGTTATATATGTTACCGGGGAGTTAGGTTAGTGTTATATATTTTACCGGGGAGTTAGGTTAGTGTTATATATTTTACCGGGGATTTAGGTTTGTGTTATTTATATTACTGGGGAGTTAGGTTTGTGTTATATATATTACCGGGGATTTAGGTTTGTGTTATATATATTACCGGGGAGTTAGGTTTGTGTTATTTAAATTAATGGGGAGTTAGGTTTTGTGTTATATATATAACCGGGGAGTTAGGTTAGTGTTAAACATATGACTGGGGATTTAGGTTTGTGTTATATATGTTACCGGGGAGTTAGGTTAGTGTTATATATTTTACCGGGGAGTTAGGTTAGTGTTATATATTTTACCGGGGATTTAGGTTTGTGTTATATATATTACTGGGGAGTTAGGTTTGTGTTATATATATTACCGGGGAGTTAGGTTAGTGTTATATATTTTACCGGGGATTTAGGTTTGTGTTATATATATTACCGGGGATTTAGGTTTTTTATATATATATTACCGGAGATTTAGGTTTGTGTTATATATATTACCGGGGAGTTAGGTTAGTGTTACATGTACATGTATGCATACATATCTTACCGGGGATTTAGGTTTGTGTTATGTATATTACCGGGGAGTTAGGTTTGTGTTATTTATATTACTGGGGAGTTAGGTTTGTGTTATATATATTACCGGGGAGTTATGTTAGTTTTATATATATAAATTATCGGGGATTTAGGTTTGTGTTATGTATATTACCGGGGAGTTAGGTTAGTGTTATATATATTACTGGGAGTGAGGTTTGTGCTATATATATTACCGGGGATTAAGTTTTTCCATTCTTTTGAAACAACAACAAAAACACACAAAAAACTGTAAGCGCCATAGAATAATACCAACCTTTGTCACACTGAACAACGGTAAGCGCAATATTACAAAAATGAAAGGTTCCACAACACTGTACGAAAGGGTATGACAATGAACCACAGTAGATATTAGCAACAGTAAACGCTGTATTATACTAATTACGATTACGAATTGGTACGAAACAGAAAAATCCAAGTACCATTGTATAGAACCGAACGAGTCTAAAAGGTACCTCATTGTACATAATTAAACGAGGCTGTATCAGAAACAAATATGCAACAAAAACGACATCCGAACACGATATTAACTATTGCTGTCAAACCTTTATTTCATTTGCAAGGAGCTTCTTTATTTTAAACAATATCATTATATCACCCTTTCAGTTTTAAGGACACTAAACTAACACTCCCGGTAAACGCATATCAGTAAGCAAGGGGAAAGTTCGACCAGAACTCTTGCTCCACTGGAGTTGGACGGTTATCGAGGCAGTTTTCACTGAAGATCCACTACATACCTGTACGAACCCAAATGGAAAGCTAGGGGATGTCGTGTGAAGCGAAGCGTCACTGAACTTATGCCTCCAGTCAGCGATCATGGCAGGGAACTGACATGCATATTTTCCGGGATTTGGTGTGTTAGATTCACCTTTAGTAACACACATACGAAGTATTACTTGAAGGAAAGAAAATGGTATACTGATTGATTGTTAATGATTCCGCCAACTGATTAAGAAAGTAAGAAATTAGTTGTGAAGGTTAGAAAAAGATAGGTATTCTCAAAACTGACCCATTTCTCCTTACCAATGATTAACCCTTCCACCACTGTAGACCATAATGGACTCATCCAGATCAATGCATGGTAGAGTTTATTAAAGTTACATAGTGGTGAAAGGATTACGGAGGCAGTTTTGCTGAAAACATCGAAATATGCAGGTGACTAGTAAACTTTAATAACTATTCACACCATGGGCAAATTTAAGGAATATAACATTGTCAATATGACTTAATATTTAGTGAAGACGTAACAAATCTAGCTAACAAACCTTGGTACCAAATCGTGCCGTATATTGTGTTCCTTAGCAAGGGGGAGATCATGCCATTCCACAGTCCCGAGTTAGCAATATTGTTCGCTCTACAAATGAAACGCCAAGTTAAACAAATAAGTTCGCAAAATAATGTATTTAACACCTCATATTAAAAAAACAAGAAGCAAAAATGAAAAAAACTAATTAAAGCAAAATAGATACTATTCGCAGTACAAATTAAAGTTAGTTAGCAACGTAATGACTAAGCAAGAGTTATGTCGAGCCTGAAACAACATGACGGAACATTTACAAAACATAATTCATCAAAAGGAAACGGAAAGACCAAAGGTTAAAAACTGCAGTGTAAGTACACTGCGACATGAAATAATGTTTGTCTCGAATCCTGTCCGACATCAGTGAGTCGAATTGTAAAAACGTTTATTGTTAATATGTTACATGTACCATCATGAAATTAAAAATAAAACACTTTCTTTTCAAAACTTATTTTGCAACTCCTCAAGATAAAGTAAAGTTTCAATTTGTTCATTATGACAAAGAGGATTTGAAGATAAATGAAACGGTCAATAATGTTTATTAAAACTTGAAATAAGACACTTATTGATTGAGTTACACACTCTTTTAGACCGTTATTGTTTTACTGGATTTTATGTTAAACATATTAACGTATGCGCTTGACAAAGTCAAAAACGTGTTTCGGTTCCAAGTAGTCTGTTTCATCTGAAATTGTATTTTATATTACCAAAAAGATGTCCATGCAATAGTGTGTTTTTTTCAAAATGATAAAGAATCATTATTTTATGGTGACTTATCTTTATTTTAATGGTTAACCTACGTATAATATCTATATCATATACTTCAGTACCGTCACGAGGTTACGTGTACTGGTAATTAAAAGATAATTTTACAAATAGAAAGGATGATGTCTCGCCTCAGAATACGCAACAAGTATTCCATCAACTGCTTGGTTAAGTCCTGGTACATGTATCACCTTTAATTTCCTTGTAATTATTGCAACGTGGTATGCAATGGTCAGATTTGCATTAGATTTTCACATTTATATATGTCGCACTATAAAGTCGGCATTAGTTCCGCGCTATCACAACGAGACAAACACGAACATATCGCAGCCTCCCAAAACACACACGCATACACTACACGTATGCATCTTGTACACAGAGGAGGCCGTCCTTAAATGTCCATAGCTATTAATAGGACGTTAAACAATAATAAACCAAATCAAAATATATATGTATATATATACTCCCCAAAAAAACAAAATACAAAATGATAAAAATTGATAATTAATTAACATTACAGTTTTGTTACACTGTCAACTTGATCACCATTACTTGGTTATTTGTGAAATGATTGTAATAGTTCTATACTTACTATGTGTCGCATACATTGGATTATGAAACTCACCTTTTTCGCGATGAACATTGGCTAAGAGCGTCAGGTGAAGACCACAACTCGATTTTCGTCCCACCAAAATTTGATTCTATCAATCCGATCGGATATCCAAACTGTGAGGACAGACGCTTTCCAAACAACCAGCATACAGCGGAAAAGCTTGTCAGGGACGCTGTTGGGAATGTAGATGTGAATCATTTGAGAGGATGTTTATAACAGGCTAAACGTCCCGCAAACCCAGATATTGTTCAAGGTCAATGAATGATCAACAAATTGTAAAATCACGCAAAGTCATATAAATGACATTGAACATGTTTCTTTTTTAATTGTCAATTGTTAATTGAGTTACTTCACATTGATAATAAAAAAGAACGAAAGAGGTAAATTAACATTGATAAATCAGATGTTTTTTATTACATTGATTCAGATAATAAGAAATAGTGGTTCCTCAATGATTGTACATACGTAGTTGGTTATCATGTTTATCCAACTAAAGTTACTTAGTTTTCGAATTGTATCAGGAGGTGTAAAGAGTGCTATAACAATTTGAAAATTAACTTAAAGAGTTAGACAAAAATGATAATCAACCATATATCATGTTTGTCTAACTCTCTTAAGTTAATTTTCAAATTGTTATAGCACTCTTTACACCTCTTGATACAATTCGAAAACTAAGTAAAAAAACTCACAATCCCCCCCCCCCCCCCCCCCCCCCCCCCCCAACACACACACACACACACTTAAAGCGTTTTATCAGAGCCTCGAATTAGAATTATTATTATTATCATATTAATGTTCCAGAAACCCAACCCATGTTCTTTTTTGTAAACACTATTCTTGTTTCCGATCACGGAAACAATCGCCATGAACTATGACATTACAATAGCAGATGACTTCGCAAAGCATTGTTACTTGACGTCATAATTAGAAGATTGACCGATGAAATTTCGTTCGTGATGCTACTCACTAGTGGGTTACCAAAAACTGTTTACCAACTCCCAGTACAAATGAGTCGGGAGGTAGAAAACTTTAAGTGTTTTTTAGAGAAAATCTGTGTACTTTCTTTTGAATATAATGTCGAGATTGACATCATTTGAAGACACTATATCCTTTATCAGTTTTTGATGGTTTTTGAACTGAAAATAATTATACAAACACTCTTTAGCATACAAAAAATAGGATTTTCACGGAGCCAATCTAAAATTGCCCGAAACTAATATCACATTATATATCGGTACAACTCTATACATATAAGTGTCGGTCTTCAACTACATGCCTTCATATCATACCTAATGCATGATTTCAACAACTACCAATAATGTTTGATTGTAATTGTTAAATGTAAAATGTTGGTTTCCCCTGATCGATTGTTCGTGTTTTATTTTCAAAAATTGTTAATCAAGATATATATAATTATGTCTGTACCAGTTTTTGGTTTTGCCGGATTTGATGTCCAATGAACAACTAAGGTAATTTAAGGACATGTTTCCATGTGTGTTGTGTATGCGTGTGTGTGCTGGAGTTTCTTCCTTGTAATAGCGCGAGTCCGATTCCGACTTTATAATGATTCCTCACGGAAATATCATACCAAAGGCATCCAGCGCAGCATTCCTCCCAGTCACATCATATTGACAACGGATGAACCAGTTGTTGTCATTACCCTAAATGCTTAATGTTAATCAGAGAATAACAACTACTATTAAAAGAACTTTGTATGGCCCGGCCTGGGGACAGAACCCTTTGACTTCCTCACCTTGGTAAACATTCAACATGAAAGCCTAACAAAACAAAACCAGTGATGTATTGGAGATGAGTTTAGAAAATAATCATACAAGATAGCTTTATCCTGTAAAGTGTAGGCAAACAACGAAAATTGACATTTCGCAGCGTTTTTGACCATTTCCCGATCTATTGTTTCCGTAGTTACCAGTCTTGTAGACAACGGGGCAGGTGATTATGGGGTTAACATATACATTAAGATTATTACCAAACTCAGCGGGTTGACCCTGTTGTGTGCATTTTCGATTTTGTCTGAGGTCGTTCCAGTTTGTCTCTGTCGGTGGTTAATGGAGTTTTCGTTCAAGTTATGACTTGGTCTTTCATTTCGGTAGTGCCTCCTAGGCACCCGCTTTATTTGCCATTACACATAAAAATCCATCGGATAAAAATTGTAATAGGTAAAAGAGAAATATATTTGTCATTCATTTAAATATGAAGTATCAAGTTTATTCCACATTTAAATATATCAAATACAATTACGTAAAACTGGCCTTAAAGTATCATCCATTGAAATTGAAAAATCATTTTTCATATATTGTACTGCGTATTCCTGTCTTCGTATGCTCGTATAAAGAAGACATTTATTTAATGATTTTAGAGATGAAATTTTATTGCTTATTTTAAGGAAAAATTAAAGCATTTGAATGTTTTAAATGAAAACTTGAAATTACATATTGTAGCTTGTATTTGTAAATATACAAAAGAAATCGTCGGCAGCGATCACACAATAGATACAATGAAAACCATAATGTGTTCGTTCAAACGTACTTGTACAAGATTACTTGCGAATAAATAAAAAAAAATTGTGGTTTCAGTTATCTTCGGCTATTTCGACATTTTTGTTTGTATTACGGTCATTGACAATGTGAGTCATTTAGGGCAAATAATACTATTAAAAGAAATATTCACAAAAACTAATACAACCAGCAAAAAATTAAAATGGTAAAATGTGTAAAAGATGAAAAAAACATCAATAGCACACACATTGGTTATTTTGTTTTGTTTTTGTCATTTAGGGTGAAACAACACTGTATAAAGAAAGATTTGAAAACGTGAGGACTTCGAACTTGAAATTGGAAAAGTAAAAAGGTATACAAATGCAGGTTCATCAACAGGGAACGAGTTGGTTATAAAATATATCATTACTTGTTTTAAAGATCAATTGAGTGTAAATAATCATATATTGATAGCAAAGAAACTGTATCAAATAAGCTTTTCGTAAGCAGTGTATTATAGTCTGTCGGTTGTTTGTTTAAAATTAGCGCCTGCAAACATAAACTGTTAATGTTTAATCACATGCATACAAATAAGGTTGTATCTTTGTGTGACCTAGTTATGACCTAAGCACAGTCGCGAGAGGACAAATTCGGTTTGGTATTATTTTGTTTATCATACTGTTAACAGCTAAGGTAATATAAAGACGTGTCTACTATTCTATTATGGCCCTTTCCCCAGGGCACTGTTCTCTTATAGTGTTGTCTGAGGAGGTATAGTGCCCTAGCCGTTAGACAACACTATAAGAGAACAGTCCCCTCGGGAAAGGGCCATAATATATTTAGTACATCACAAGACTGTCATTTGACAATAAAAAGTAACATATTTCATAATGAACAACAAATGTCAATAAGATATGTAGATCTCCTTTTTTTTGTTGCGTATTCAATTCAGTCGTTTGAATCACCGCTAGGTCACATACGGTCCCCCTTTTCAGTAGGAAGTCTTTTAAGGACTGTGACGTCAAATGGTTTCGTCTGCTTCGTCTTTATGCATTGCTGAACCTCTGCGAAGCAATCGGCATTTCTGGTCCCGAAATTCGAAGCCATTTTGGCAGACGACAACTAACAATGAAGTGAAAGTAGAATATATATAGCGCACCCTAGGAGAAGGGGCGCAACTCTTAGCGCCACGCTACTTTTCCCGCCGTCTCAGCGGTTCAAAACAAAGGTACAGTGCCTGTCTCCAGGTATAGTTCCCGTTGTCAAGGGCGGATGCTAACTATACCAAATACAAGGGTAGTTTTCCAATAGCTTACTTAAAAATTATCATGTGATGTACTGAATGTGTTTAATGTATGCGTGCCTATGTTAATGTATGCTTGAGGCAGGGTATGTTGATGAATGCATCTCCTTGCGATTGCGCGGATCTGATGCTGACGTTACAGTGCTACCTCAGTAAGATACTATGCCACAGGTACCCAGAGCAGTATTCCACCTTGTCACATTATATTGACAAAGGGTTAACCTAAATGCCAAATGTTAAGTAGGGAATGACAACTATCATTGTTAAGGATTTTTGTATGTCCCGGACTGGGCAAAAGCTCAACAGAAAGGCAAAAAGTAAGGCATTGCCAAACAAGGCGCTAGGAAACACACTTATTTTTAGAAAGTAGAGATAAGACATAAAGTTCCCAAATGTTGCAATGTTGGCCACACACACACACATATTAAGACCCCCGCGCTAACATCCAGGCCAACAAGAATGATTAATTTAAGTTGCAAAAACTTGTTTCATAATTGTTGTAAAATAAATAAAGTTAATATTATGTTAAGGAAGGAGAGTATAGCTGCCTCTCTGCGGTCTGCTAGACCTGTTGCACATGAACTTACATTAGGTTGAATATAGCGCAAAATAACTTAATGTTATTTATTCAGGCCATTTATTTTCCTAATTTGTTTTCATAAAATTTGTCAGTACAGATTTAAAATCATTATCAGACAGTTTGATATCATTTGAGTGCACTGTGCTAAACACATTTTCGAAAACGAAAATCATTGTTTGGATCAAACACCGTGATAAGATAATAAATCACCAGTCCAGCTACTCCTTCGATTGCAAAAATGTCATATTCATCTTATCGATATCATTGACAACATCACACTATATTGTGGTCAGATACCTACATCTTGAAGGTTTTGCCCAGCTTGCGATGGTATGTGGATGAAAATCCCCCAGACTGGACGAAGAATGGTAATGGTTTGCCTTGAACACTCGTATATCTTGGTAGTTAGAGGCGTCCGCGTATTCAGAAGTGTCGTTGATAAGCTGTTAGTCAGAAAGAGACACGGATGTGAACATTTCTACCAAATGCGTACAGAGAGAGAGAGAGAGAGAGATTTGTATCAGCTTATTACAATAAAGATATTACCTTTAATGATTTAGGTAACGTTATGTCTGTATACCTATAGCTATAGGGGTTGTTATGTATTCACACAAAAAAACAGCCTTTCGATGAAGATAAATGAATACCTGTCTTCCATTCAAGCTAACAATTGTGTAGGTTTACAATATGACTTGCGCATTATTAGACATTTTATATTTTCAAGTAGAGACGTAATGACCATAACGGCAATTTTCTTTTCTTTGTCATCATATCAAAATAATGAAATCAATGTACTGACATCAATTTACTGAAAGTATATTAACTTAAAGACACCTAGGATTTGTTTTTTTTATATATTTACCTTACTTAGAGTAAATTCCATGTTGCTTTGGCCAGAGCACAACCACACATCACCAAACATTACGTCATGAAGAGTTATCGCCCCTAGACTTGACCTTGCGGTCAGGTTATATGGACCATAATGATGTGACGTCATAACTACCTTAACCATCCAAATCAGCCCGCCGTATGCATCATGAGTAACGTTACTATGAGCAACCTCATGACCATTTAATGAAACATGAACGGTATCGCCAAGCTTCGAAGACTTGCCCCATACAATTGTACCACGTGTTCCCTTCTGTAACACCACGTGGTCAGAGTATGAAGAGGCAAACGTAAACGTTGATTCGCATGCTGAAACAAGGAATGCAGCACATCGCGATTCATAAGATACGCAAAAATAAAATATTGGTAAAATTGTGGCAATCGTTTCCCAAACTACAACACTAGCCACGATAAAATTGTTTTACTATTTCATACACATCAAATCTGTTATTCGTGTGAAAAATGTTTTAGAAGACCTTAATAAAACCAAAATCAAACCAAATTTTCACAAATTTTACAATATTTTCTAAGAGCAACTCTCAATTTCATATCTCTGCAATATATAATATACATTTATCTATCAGCTTATCTACATTATAGTACGTGTGTCAACACCCGACTTAGTGAATCGTATGTCGCATTTCAAACTGACCTTGTAAGCAATGCCACTAAGTAAAACTTTTGAAAATCTTTTACGTTACACAGCATTCTTATGTTATGCATTAATAAGATGTAATACGTACACGTTATGCATAGGCTCAGACACACAATGAACAGTATTGTTTTCAAGTCCACCATATTGAACGGTCCTTTAACGGTCCTTTAACGTCAATCCATGTTATCAGTGATCGTGGAACAAAACTTGCCTTATCTCGAGTCCTAGCCATTCACATATGTCCTCTCATAGTTAAGAACCGTACGAGTTGAGTAAAATGGCCTGCTGTATCCAACTGTATGTAATCGTACGAGATGACTTATGGGGAACCCTATTCAAGGTGTTGTTTCCTTAAATTATTAAGACTTCTGTTCATTTCAATTCGTGTTTTTGGAACGTAAAAACCTCACAGCAACGATTTATTTTAACTGCATTATTACGTAAATGTCACGTAATTGTTTTTCCTTCCAATTTTATACAAAGTACGGGACCATTCGATAAAATGGTTTGATAAAACAAGACATAATGACTGTAACAATGATTAAAAACAAATATAACATCATATACAATCAAATGTGTTACACAAATTCTTCAAAACTGTAACGCACGATACATAAATAACTTAATTTAATTAAAAGACGGATTTCTTTAGGAATTGATACAAAGTATCAATGTTTGTAATCAATGAATTTAAATACTGTGGAATGTAACGCTTCTACAAAATCTCGAAATTTATCTACATGAAGCCAAAAGAGGTCACCTTTATGACTCTCAGTACACAACTCCGTTGTGTAATCGTAAGAGTTATCCGATATGTCATTGCACAATATTGTCACTCTTAAGGCAAAACAAATACAATATCAGAACAGATGATTTAGTATGTAATGCTAATATATTGGACAGCGTGTAATTAAATATCAGAGTTATACGCTGTAATGATATGCCTGTGTTATAACTCAAATGCATTGCCACTCACAATGAAATTGCGTTGTACCTCGAATTCAAACATAAAACAATATTTGCGCTTGGTTTTCTCTTCCGTAATTTAACAAACTGACATGTTTATGTCAAAATACATTTTTGTTCCACGGACAACCTGCACTGAAGAGGTCAAACTGTCATTTGTTATTATTTTTTGACCCACTGTATGGGAATTATCTCAACAATCATTATGTTTTTGTTTTAGTTTCATTCATTTATATGTCCACCGCACATCATAATTACAAATTCCTCCAACCATTATTTTGAAATTTCTATTGACATTAAAACAACCTCGGTCCTCCATCGTGAAGCTAAATTTCAACTACGTGAACTTCTACCTCTGTCATAACAACGGAATCCATACCTAGTAGTTCAGCAGCGTATCGTGCATCTACACCATGGAGAGTCAACAGAAAAACAATCAATGAAATAATTACATGCAAATGTTTGTCAAACATTTAATCCATAACAAGACACAAAACACTGACAGAGAATGATTGCTATGTTCGAAGCGACCTGCCGTTTCGAGTTTAACGACATGTGAAGAGGGGTAATTATAGTTATATTGTGTCGTTACACAGATACGATAAACAACTCGCAAATGCTTATTTGGTGTTGTATTTCTGTTGTAATGCTGCGCAAGGCACTAATTGGGATACAGTTATCAATTATAGCATTATACGGCGATGTGAGACAAGACTTTTTCTGGTGGTTGGTTTAACGTCCTCCAAACGAATATGATCATATCAAAAGGAGTGCAATGTACCTAGGGGGACAACGACAAAAAGAACGAGTAGATTAATGTGATAACGAGAAAAAGATTAAATCCTAAGATCAATTATTGTCTCTTTAATATCCCCTTAGCAGTACAATCTACAACCGAAAAAATAGTGTCAACAAAAAAGCAAAGGTGACTGAACTATGTATAGCTTAATTTATATCCTTGTTGAGGCTTTTTAGCAAAACATTTGAAGAAAGTTAGTTGTCTTGTCAAAATTCTAAGGGGGAATACTTCCGTTTATTATGCATTCACGTCAAATATTTGAAACATTTTAAGATATTGTTTCGGTCGAATAAGTTTACGATTTTACAAGAAAGCATTAAGAGATTACCGAAGTGTCGACAAACGCCTTAATTTGAACTAGAAGTCAATGCAATTATGGCAAAGTTGAGAAACTGTGAGGGAACTGACAACAATATACCCCCGCGTCATCTTATCTATGTTTTCCTTAGTGCCTCATATACATCTGGATGTTATGTACTTTCACTTTTCTAGGTTACAAAAGATATCCAGTTAACAGTAACGTAGCTCTTCAGCAGGAATTACATTTTCAAGGGCCATAACTGACTGAAAAACAATTGGATCGCACGTTCGTTTCTTTATGCACTTCTACATATTTATATATCTTCCCTGTGCAAAGTTACAAAACTATCCAACTGTTTAGGATAAGTTTCCCGTTCAAAGTTAGACGGACAGACAGTGTTATCATTATGTATCTACTTAGACGTCGATTGCGGGGGTGGGTGGTAAATATGAACAAAAGAAAAACGTTATGATAATTTCTTTTTGATAAGTAATGATCTTGTTTTTGTAACACCTTTCGATTAGTTGTGTTTTGCGCTAAACAACAGTGTAAAGAAAGATTAAAAATGGTAAAGGTCAAAATGAAACAACCATTAACGATGACCTCGAAAAAGAGCCTAGGGACATCCTAACTCGAACTTGTTCAAAGTAAGCCGGAGGCAAACATAACAGTGAAACCAAAGTTTGTTAAAAATACAGCCACGAGAGTGCTGAGTATGATATCCAGATGAATATAAGGAATATTAAGCTTTGCCTTAATCGGAACATGAACTCGGCAAATCTATAGCTAGTTGTATACATGATGTAATTAGTTAACAAACGTAGCTGTCGAATTGCCGGCGAATTTCTAGTTTCTACTTTATCAACAGACCTTGACCATTGTCGATGGTAAGGTCAATGCAAACATAAGTGAAGTTTAACAAAACATCGGTGAAGTAATTATAGCCGATAGAGTGATGACCCCAGGGGAAATGTAGGTAAGGACATAGTCCGAATTATTCTGACGTTTTATCGACTTTTTTCATATCGGTCTGTCGTCGATTAACGTCAGAACTCCGGCCCTCTATAATATGCGGGAAATATGCGACCCGCGCCCGGAGCGCACTTCAAACTATTATTTTAGAAACAAATCGTCACTTTCACACACATGTCGCACATGGATCGAAAGATCTATTCTTTATGCACTANGCCACGTAAATTGATATGCCATGTCACTTTAGCCGTAAGTGTTCCGCCCTGACCGAGTAGTCATTACACAATATGCCTAATGAATGTTAAGGGAACTATCAGTGTCCCTGTCTTAGTTTAAGGACTACATAGGCTATGATATTCTGTTTTTTTGTGTGTCTGAAATGTTATATGCTCGATTCCAGAGTAAGATATATATATATGCGTTTTGTTAGGTTTTAAGTGGAGCTACGTTCGTTTCGCAGTTTCGGATTTTCTAGGAACGGAACTAGGTTCTAGTCACTGGTGTAGTGTTTCTTTATAACAACGCTTGATTCGGTTTTATTGTATTTAACGTCCTAAGGAATGCTAAAGACATGCCTCCATTTGTGTAATGTTGGCGTGTATGTGTGTTGGAGACAGTATCTTATAATGAATCCTCATAAAAAGGAAAATCTGTTTGATAAGTTGCGTTCGTACTCGTTATAATTGAAATCAAATCAATAATAATAATAATTCAAGGTTCCTACCTTTTTTTTATCACAAACGAGTTCGTAGGTGGTCTCAAAGCGATCCACAAATTATCAAACGTGGTAAAAGGGCCTTTGTAACCAGCCAATATCTTTCTCAACTCCCTGGAAAGCATAGCTCCGATGATGCCAATCCGGCAGCAACAGCTAGTTTCAGCAATTCTAGCAATGCCCAACCACGTATTCATTTACAGCTGAGGTGACTAAAACAAGCGGATTCAAATATCTTGCTCAAAGGTACAACACAGTGTCGTGCCGTTACTCGAACCCGCAGCCCTCGGTCACAATCCCGGCAGTCTATACTAGACTACCATGCCTCCTAAACTAAAGACAATATCTATCATAAAGTGCTACTAAAAATAATATGGTGGACTCTATAGCAGCCCCAATCGATCATACTATTTTGATAAAGAGTTAACCAGATGTGCCAAGGTTTTACAAATCATTTACAACAGCAAAGATCATATGAAGTTGTTTAAGAAACCACAACTGGAAAAACGTGAGAGAGAGGTTTGATTTGATCTGATTTACTGAACGTCCTATTAACTGCTTATATTATTATATAAAGGACGTGCCTCCACTTGTGTTGTGTATACATGTATGTATGCTGGAGCCAGTGTGTGGTGATGTGTTTCCGTAATGTTGAATGACATCAATCAAATGAAAAAAATAAAACCAAAACCAAATAAGAATGAGGAAATATTCACTTTTTGGAAAAAGAGATTTTACTTTTAGATTAAGTTTAATGAACTCCATTTTTGTTTACCCCATATTTAAGCATTACATAAGAACGGTTATTGTGTGAAAGACTCTCACGGAGACGGGTAAGGAATACCTCGCCATGGCTCCTTTCAAAGGTCATATAATAATGGTACAGAAAATGTATCAATCTCTTTTAAATATTTCCTATCTGTTACATTATAACACGTTTCACATTATTGTTTAAAATTGGTTGAGTTGATTATAAAACGTTTTGAATTTCGTAAAATGTAAGAATCTTTATTGTATAAGGTATAGCCGATTTCAAGCGCACTTCATAAGCGCATTGCTTTACGGAAACTGAAGTTTTCCACTGATAAACCAACAAGAGGAAATCTTTTAACATAACAGATCTCAATATTTCCACAATTCTTACATACCTAAAATTGTTGGTCTGTTCAACGAAATATTGATTACTGTACCCATTTTTACTTTTCAAGTTGGCATTTGCCGTTATGTTCGTTTGAGGTGTCAGTTCTTTTAAGATATGCAGTTTACTTTTTATTGACCTAGTGATCTCTTGTGTGTTAGTTGGCCGTAACGAATCGAATAATTTACTATCTAACGATAGTTAAAATACTTTTTTGAGAGAAGAAAAATGTTGTGCTGAAGAAGCTAAGAAGAAAGATACAAATGTTTCCCTCTAAAACAATAACCTGGATG